ATCCAAGAGGAAGGCAACAGAGAGTGAAGGCGACGGTCTTGGTCAAGTGCCAGACCCGAGCCGAAGCTCTCAGCCCAACGTTGAGAAAGAAGAGAAGAAGCAGCGAGTGATTGATGGGCGGAGAGCTGCACTCGAGTTCCTAGTCTCAATGGAAAAGTGCATGGGAGAGATGGGAATTTGCATGAGATGCGCGAACCTGGCCCACGACGGCGACTGCAAGAACTATGAGGAGGCTGCTGGGAACGAGAAGGCGATGAAGAAGATCCGTGAGCTTCTCAGCAGCGATCATGTTTCCTCGGATGAAGAAATGGGGGATACGGAAGAACCGTCCTCATCGACGTCCAAGGAACGCAAGAAAGGAGGACAAGAAGGGAAAGAGACAATAGAAATGTATAGCTATACCATCAATCTGGTGGAGATGGCTGACACGGCTGAGGGAGGAGAGCTACAATGCGGTGGCGTGGACCTCACCTACAATCCGTGCGGAGACAACAGAACGTTCAAGACGACGCTAGAGCGAGGGTGTGACACCATCCCATGTTACATCCCGAAGTTCGGCGACGTGAGCGATGTGCATATGCCATGGGCGTACGCATCTATTGTTGACCCCAAGTACTTTCCCAAGGGTGCCGGCCTCGAACAGGTGGATGTGATGCAGCTTGGCAAGAGCGTCAATTTCTGCGTTGCTCCCTTTGACGGTGCTCCACTATGCAAGATTGGCGACGATCGCTCGGTATTTGCTACGAAAGATCAAGCAAACCAGCTATCTCACAACCTATGCAGAGTCCTTCGGCACAAAATCGGCAATTGCCGAGGAAGTGTTTTCAGATGCGATGAAGGTGGATGGGTCGACATCGACGCAGTCATTGACGACCGAAATAACGACATATTCCCACCTTCAACTTCGAGAGCAAAACGATACATGGGCATCATGGAAGTGATCAAGTGGCAGGAGTCCGGACAAAAGAAATCGAGGTTTCAGGTCCTGGCAGCAAGGTTTCCAAGCGTCATGAACCCGAATGACATGAAGGCGGCCAGGGAGGAGATGAACTATGCTGGCCTGGATCGGGATGACATCGACAGGATGTTCAACAGATGCGATGGATGGTACAGGCCTTGGTGCATCCGAGTCACAACTGGTCACAGTGATTTTGGATTCATGAGCTCATCCGCACTGGCAAATAGGTATTCCGCAAGAATGGGTGATTCTCTCGGAGGAGCATTCCATGTGACGTATGTGGAGAACCTGCCAAGCATCGTACGCTGTGGGCTAGTCCCCGGCGGGATCGATGGCGGAAACAGGCTAGCATTGCACTTCGGAGCATTTGCTCCATGGGATGAGATGAACGTAGCAACGAAGGTGACGCTACGAAACGTAAGGTCGGGGGATCCGATTGCGATCATCTACATTCCCAGTGCAACCCTCGCGCGGTATGGAGCTGGAGTCGCGGCAAATGGGACATTCGTGGTCTTTGACGTGATCCCGTTCTATGAGGTCAAGTCCATTTGAGAGCAACGGAGGGAAACGCCTGGAGTACGGGGACGTCAGGCGAGCGTACTCAAAATGTGTGGAAAACGAGATCTGTCCGGGTTTCGTCGATTCCTCCCAGGAGTCGGCTGCGATGTTCCTACAGAACGTCGCGAAGATCAACGAGAGGATGCCTGAGACCGAGGCAGGTGCCGACAATCTGCACTACATCAAAGACATGGTTGATCGTGCATGCAAACTGTTTCGGGAAAACAAGCTGGAGGAGTTTGATGCGCAGACCAACGAGATCAGGGACGAGATCAGCAAAGTCGTCATCCTGAATGACGAGACATGGGAAGGACTGAGGTGCCGGATATGTCCGTCATGTGCGACCGCGATTCCCACATGCTTCTGTGTGTGCCTGGAATGTGGAGCGCAATTGATCTCTACCGGGAGATTCTACATCCACATCAGTTCCGACGACGACGGGGACAACCAAGGTCCCAATGTCTCGGGTGATGCCAGGCGCGCACAAGACGAAGCCAACCATGGTGCGGCAGCACAGGAAGAGGATGATGAGGCGGAGGACGTTCCTGAAGAAGACGACATGGACACGCAAGGATACACGTCCGGCTACATGTCTGAGGAAGAAGATGGCGGTTGGCAATACCGCGACAATGACTTGGCATCGCGGGATATCATAAATACCCAGCGGATGGCGATTTGCCTTGATGAGCCGCGCGAAGCTCAATACATGGCGGGATTCATCGCACTGCAGATGTCAAAGATGTGGGGGATGTTCGAAGGTGGTGAAAAGAGAACGATCGATGCCGCGCTCGAAGGGAAGCTAGGCTGTCCATACCACAACGACTTCGAGAAATACCCCAACATGACTGAGCACGATCAGGAAGGGATCCTGTTGCCGTCAACAATAGTGAAGATTAGCCAATCTCAGAATGTTCGGACAAGGACCTTCCGGTCGGCTGAGGAGCGTGATGAATACATTCGTCTGATGGTATGCAAGTGCGAGGGGCTATACATATTTTACAAGCTGTGGATTGCAGCGAGAATCCTCGACATCACCAAAGACGAAATGAAGCTCCTGGTCAAGGATCGCGTGCACCCGGTGGGTGATATCATTTACAGATGCTTCTCCCTGGCTTTCAACTGTAAATATATATCATTCGTAAGGGAAGGCTTGAACCTTGGCAAATATGGTTATTCGGTCAATGTGAGCGCCATTATTGCAGCCACTGACCCGAACAAATGCGACACACCTCTGCTGGATTGGTGCCTCCGAATGGGGCATTGGATACCAGAAGATCATCACAAGAAGTGTGTCCGGGCGCGAGAAGCCCAAAAGAATTTGGACGAAGAGTTCCGTCGACGTACCCACAGACTGTCCATTGGGGACAGGTATGCGTAATGCAGATGTGGATTATTATTGCTTATGTGATGTGGTGCGCCCACCAACAGCAATTCATATATTCACTCCGATGTTGATTGCGGCACGATGTGGGCTAGTCCCCATCTATTGCTTGCGTCTCATCAATGTCATTGCGATGGAACGACTCTACATCATGATATGATTTCATGCGTCCAAGATGAATGGATGTGTATACATTTACATATTCCGACGGCTATGACATTCCGGATATTCATGGATGGAACTATTACCTCATGGATGATTTCCTTTTCATTATATATATATTATTCATGGTACCTGGAATGGCTATGTTTTGCATGTATTGCTCACCAAATCTTCTTTGCCAATGATATTCAGATGGCATATGACCGTGCGCTACTATGGATTTCTATGGCCAACCCATTTCGGTGGATGACGGCTGCGCGATGCGCAAATGCGGCAGCCGGGATTTCAAGTGGTTGCGTATTGGCTAAAGGCAAAATGTCTCTTGCATCTGAGTGTATGAATGTGCTTCGATTTGCGGATGCATGTTTCTGCCTTGATTGGACCTGGCAAGTTTCACAATGAATGGACGGTGTAGCAATAGTGAATGAAAGAGTGTTCGACACAGTTTCGTAGCTGAAGCCGTGGCCATTGGAACGTTTTGTGGTGTTTGGACCGCATGATGAACAATGCGACCCAAATGGGGGATGTTAAAACCCTCCTGGCCCCGTGCCTAAATTGGGAAGCGTTCTGAGGTCCGTGTTTGTGTTGCTTACAAGGTTCCATTGATTGCCATTTGGCTCAAGTCATAAGTGAGGTTCAAGATCTTACGTGTAGCTGCGTTCATACGTGATCGGCAATTGAGAGCGGAAAACACTTCGCTTGCGCTGCATTTGTCAGGACCACTGTTGTAACTATTATTCCTTCTCCCTTACAACAGTTACACGGGTTCGGCTATAACGGTTTGACCGTATACACCTTTCTACGTGGTTGGTATTTACAGCTGGAGGGTTCGGTGGACAGCGTCCCACGGGACGTCACCTTGCCGTCTCTTGACATCATGAACATCCCACAGAGGTGGAACAGACAGGGTTGCATCATCCACAGTTCGTGGGTGCAAGAGTTTTGGAACAGAATGTGTGTGTGTGTGTCGTTTTTTGGTTTTTCTGGGGGCCCGCAAATAGTGGATTTTGTATTCCTTTGGGTTTCCTTCTAAGCCACAAACAAAAGCGTAACGCATCATAAGGAGCCTGCTCTAGGAGCACTCGGCTTACCACGCTTGAGCTTTTTCTGCAATCGGCTGGGCCCACCTTTTCGCTGCTTTGTGTGATGGGCGGTAAAAGTAAGCAGGCTGTGTTCCTTTGAAGGGGAAATGGAGTAACGGTTCAGTAGTTTAGGATGATGCTTTTTGAAGAGAAGGAGGGGGACCTCGAATCGAAAGCAGAGTATCTGCACAAATATGGGACCTGATCACTTTATTTTCAAGTTTGAAGTGGTCAGGCGAAACCTGTCGTCTTGCTTCATAGATGCTCCTGGTCCATTCCCCCAGAAGGCTGGGTTAGAGTGACATTCTTAAGATTACCGACTTGAAGTGGTGGTTTAAATCGAAGCCACCAGAAAAAAGTGAACTGGTTTCTGAAATACTCCAGCAAAGACAAAGTTAAAACCTTTGTATTTTCAGGGACTGGTTGCTGAAATACTCCAGCAAAGACAATGTTGAAACCTTATATTTTCAGGGTTTAGCTGAGTAGCGCAAGGGTTAACGTAGTTTGCACAATTCCCTTTACGTGGGTAAGTACAGGGGATGATTAGACCAACATGGGTTGGAAGTTTGCCATTTGCTTTCACAACTGTATCCCTGCTGCTGTTGTGTAGTTGGGCTCCTGACACGTTTTCTTGACTCCTGGCTGTGGGTCTAAACCAATGGCACCATTTTGGCGTAGGTGCACCACCCATTTTAGAACCTATTTTAGTGGTTGGATGGAGATGCTCACTGGGGGCTATCCGATTTGGATTTTGAAAAAGCCCATGGCCATCTTGACTCCTAGAAGGGACAGAGTAAGGTCTGATGTCACTGATGTCTTTAAATTCCTGATCGATGTCGCGATCGATGTCCGATTCGAGGTGGAGCTGCTCTTAGCAAGCTCCCGGCTGAAGCAGCAAATTGCCGCCCTCAGGGGGCGTCTTGGTGAAAGGGGGAGAAGCCCGGGGCGTTTCAGTTCTCCAAAACCAGACTTTCAAACATGTGAGCTCTCTTTTGTTGTCTTTATTTAGTGGCTGGAACCATGATAAAAGCTGGAACACCTTCTTTGGCTTCCGGTGAACGGTTCAGCTCGGCTAGATTGGTCAACTTCTGACTCATCCCGGACCATGCGATTCAATCAGACGAATCCCCCTGAAATGTATCACGCATTTCCACCAAAGCTTTGTGGCGATTTGGTAGCGGTTCTTTGAACTTTCACTTTTTGGTTGCAACTTAGTAGATGTCCCATTGGACCTATGAAAGGTTAATCCTTTTGCAGAGGGGTCAACGGTAGCCAAGCAGGGGAACCACCAAACCGGCGAGCCTTCCGCATGGATCAGCTCTGGCACTTTCAAAGCTAAACTTCCCTGGAAGCAAACTGAGCAACGGGTGAGACGGGCTGGTTTGCACAGAAGCTGTTTCCGAAGAATGCGCGGGATTAGATGTAATAGCAGTAATAATAATAACAATAATAATGAAAATCATAATAGTAAGAGCAATAATAGTGAAGCAATCCTGTAGCTATGCTGAAGTTGTAGCTATGCTGAAGCTGGAGTCCGCTCTAAAAAAGTTGTTGAATTTCAACCGGTTCCTTCGCTGAAGTGGGTCCATCTGGAACCTTGGCACATCGTTTCGAGAAAAACAACATGTGGGACCTGTTTCTCTCATATGCTTCGCCCCTCGCCCTGCATGTCCCTTGATTGGCGGGACGCCCAGCGTGCAAGCAGGCAGGCAGGCAGGGAGGGAGGCAGGCAGGCACCCAAAGAAACAAACACAGAAATAAAGAATGAAAGAAATGAAGACACAACCAAACAAGCAAACAAACAAGCCAACCACACACACAAGCCAACCACACAATGAAGCAAACCATGCACTATTTTTCTTGCATCGCCGCGCAGTGTCCCCTCAGCTTCCAACAAGACCGCAGGTCTGAATCCGAGAGTGAGCTGACAAAGCTGATGCAGCCTTTGCGTGTCCTGGACGAAGCCAGGGCCAACACAGGCCTTGTTTCGGAGGCAGCTAGAGTTGTAGTTCTGTGCCCTGTTTTCAGTGAACGAGCGTGTAACTGTCGCTCACATGCCTAGAGATGGATGCTCGGGCGTGTCTCTTTTCAGGGCTTTTTAGGTGTGTTTGAAAAGGAAACCAAAAGGACAGTTACCATTTTGGGGGTTACCCTAAAAACAGAAAGACGCACGACTTGCTGAGTATGTCCTGTCTTGGTCCATTCGCTGTCAAGGTTGCAAAGCTGAGCCTTTAGCTACCAAATCTTGAGGCAAATTGGCCTTTTGTTGAAGACCCCAAACAGTTCACGCTTCCTCTTGCCAGCCATCACAACCCATGATTAGTCAGTTCATCTAACCAGCGCTCAACGAAGTTAGCTAAAGCACACTCTGTCTCCTAAGCCTTGGAGGGAGCATTTCCTTTCTGGCAGGTGGGCTCTTCAAAGTTAAAGCTCCGTTCTTGGGATTGATTCATGGAAGCAACATTCCGAAGCAGAAACGTCCATGATTAATATTTGTGATGTTGCCTACTGGAAACCAAAACGGGCACCCTATGTTTTGTCCAGACCCCCTATTTCTAGCACCCAGCGTTTAAGCAACCTTAGCAGAATGGCATCCCGAGCAAACGCGCAGGACATGGATGACCATGTACCCACTTGCCAACGGATCGCATAGGAGCAAAATTCGGGGGGGGGGGTTCCCAATCACCAGTCAGCCATCACGGGACTCAGCCATGTTTGATTTGACATTTGTGCCTGACTCATGGAAGAAGCAAGCACTAAGATTCTGTTGAAGCCATTGACCTATGTGGTCAGTGTTCTAAATTGGCAAAACACCAGCGGGCATATGGATCCCTTGGTGTGGAATCTTAATTTTGTTGCGCTTCCGTTTCCCTGTGACGAATGAAATTTGTCGGACCCTCGCCTTAGTGTTTCCCACTCCCCCCGATTCGAGTTGCTCACTCCCGCAGCTCCACTTGAAGCTTGGTGGGCCAGGTGAGTTGTCGACCACGGATTAATAAACCAGTCCCATTATTACGGGGGCGTTCCCCTCTGAATCCAACCACTCAAAGGGGACACCCCCCAATCAAAATCAACCAGGGGTTTATTAATCTGGGGTCAACATTAGTTTAGCGGCAAACAAACAGTTTGGTTACATTGGTTGGCGAACCCACTCGATCGGAAGTGACATCCATGCAACCTGCTAAATTCTGAAGTGTCGAACTAGGTCAAAACCAAACCGGAGGCTTCCCCACCAACCCCTGCGTCCAGGGAGAACCTGAGGACGCTCTAGTGTACCCTGTGGCTCATTGCATTTTTTGCCTGTGCGGGCAAGTTAAAGGTGGAAACCGTTTGGACAAGCACCGAAGTGAAACAAATGCGGCCCTTACAAGGCCTGCAGATCTGATTTTCCCCGAAGCAAATGTATCCTTCGAGAAATCTCGAACGCATCACGAGGGGGAAGGGATAAAAAGCTTTAGGGTGCAGACAGAGTCATGCTTTGGCGACATGTGTGTCCTTTAGCGTCGCTGCTGGTTCCTGTGCTGGTGGTTTTCCAAAAGCTAGTTTCGTTGGTGTTGTGATATGTTGCTGCCTGCGGCAAGTAAGGTTCAATCACAGATTGCTAGTTGCTTACTGATGCATACCAGCCATGTCTTTTCACTTGTTCAGTGGCACCCTGCTCTTTTCCGTGTGTCAACCTCCGAAAGGCTTCCATTTGCTTATAAGAATATGTGTTTTTTTAAGGAGAAGCGGTTGGCCTCTGCCGAGGTGAAGCAGAAGCCCGGCGGAACCAGTCGCAGCAAGAGATCCTGAACCGCAGCGCACGTTCTGCCCCTTGTCTTTGTTGCGTTTTGCCAAGGGATGTTAGGACTTTAACGTTTTTGCCGACTACTGGGTTTTCCAGTTAAACTTTTTAGCAGGGGGGTTCCCCTGCTATAAATATATATATATATATATATTTAGATTACACCAGCAGAGACCCCAAACAGTTGAGGACTGACGCGCAAGCAGAAACATGCCAACAGCTTGTGGCGTTCTGCGCTTCAACACGGATGAATCAAAATGATGCAGTCGTAAACCCGGCACGCGTTGCGTTGCTGCACGTGTGTTGCTGTCGCGCTTAGCGCTTCAGCACCGCGCAGGAACTGAGGTTGGGCAAGCGCGTGCGATAGCGGGCGAGGGCGCGCGCGCGTGAACGCAAGTGTGGCTGCGCAAGCGCGCGGTCACGTGGGCAGCGCAGACACTCATGTCCAATTCAGACACACATGTGTGCGTACATGTGGAAACCACACGTATGAATACGACTGACACAGTACACGCGGCACGCGCAGATGTGCACCCGTGAGCACACACATATACATTCACCTGCGGCACAAGCATACATGTGTTGAGCTGGAAAACCACGTGCGCTTCTTGTAAAGCACACACATATGTGTACACCTGGAACACACGTATGTGTTCACGTGCGAGACACTACTGTGTTCACGGGGAGCACACATGTCCTCACTTGGAAAACAATGAAACGCGTGTCCAATTCAGACACACATGTGTGTACACGTGGAACACACGTGTGTTCACCTGGAACACAAGCACGTGCAATTAAAGCACACATGCGTGCACATGTGGGACACACATATGTATACAACCGGAACACAAATATGTGTCCAGGAACACCGCGTGTGCGATTAAAGCACACATGTGCACACGTGGAACACACATATGGATGCAAACAAGATTCACCTTACACATAGTAATGTGTTCACGTGCAACACACATCTGTCCACCTGGAACAGATTTGCGCACACGTGGACACACATATGTGCACACGCATAAATGTGCACCCGGAACACACACACACACCAGTGTGCTCATCCGATAACAGCTGTGTGTTCTCCTGGAACGCAAACACCTGTCCAATTGGAGCACACATATGTGTACACGTGGAACACACACAAAAGTGTTCATCTGAGAGCAAACATGTGTTCACCTGAAACACATACACATGCCGGATAAGACCACACATGTGTGCACACGTGAACACACATATATATGTGTACACGTGGGAGACACACATGCGCACACATGAACACACACACACATGTGCACAAGGGCACCCACACATGTGTACTGCACACTTGAACACACACTTTTAAGTGCGCGCAGAAACACAGACACACACGAGTATTCATCTGATAACAAACACGTGTTCTCCTGGGACACAAACACGTGTCTAGTTGGAACACAGAAGTCGAAGTGTGCACACGTGAGCACACGTCTGTGTACACGTGGGACATATGTGTGCACACGTGAACACACAAATATGCATGTGCACCCGGAACACACACTCACGTGCGTTCATCTGATAACAAACATGTACTCACCTGAAACACAAACACGTGCCCAATTGCTACACACACATGTGTGTTGTGGAGCTGGGAGACAAGCCGCTCACCCAGAAGTATCCTGGCTAAGAAACAACAAGAGACAAATGGGAGACAAAGGGAGGCAAATGAATCCGCAGACAACAGGCATCTGGGCTGCAAGACAACAGGAGACAAATGAAGGGACAAAGGGAGACAAATGAAGCTGTCCGCACGGAGGGCCGTGCCAGACATCCAGGCTGGGAGACAACGGAAGACAAATGAATTCGTCCACCCACAAGCGAGACGAAGGGAGACAAATGAATCCGTCCACCCAGAGAGCCGTGCCAGGCATCCAGGCAGGGAGACAACGGAAGACAAATGAATTCCACCCAGAAGCAAGACAAAGGGAGACAAATCAACCCGTCCACCCAGGCTGGGAGACAACAGGAGACAAAGCAAGACAAATGAACAACGAAGGGAGACGAAGGAAGACAAATGCCACCCAGAGAGCCGTGCCAGGAATCCAGGCTGGAAGACGACGGGATCCTCCGACAAATGAAGGGAGACAAAGGGAGACAAATGAACCCGTCTACAGAGAGCCGTGCCAGGCATCCAGGCTGGGAGACAACGGGACACAAATGAAGGGAGACAAAGGGAGACAAATGACACCCGTGCACCCAGAGAGCCGTGCCAAGCATCCAGGCTGGGAGACAACGGGAGACAAATGCAGGGAGACAAAGGAAGACAAATGAACCCAGAGAGCCGTGCCAAATGAACCCGTCCACCCACAAAGCCGTGGCTATGGCTTGGCAATAGGCCAAACTGTTTGGAGAACTACAGCAAAAAGTTGGTACCAACTTATTCTGACCTCTCTGCTGGAGGACTTCCTGACCCCAGTCGCCAGACAAGCTGACCCCGGCTGCCGGAGCTTGTTAGGTTACCAGGCGCTAGTGAAGGTGCATGGTCCAACCACTTGTAGCAACCGTTCAGTGGTCATCATGCCTCAATACGCGCGAGCTATTGAATTGTTGCTGCTCGCAGTGAAGATTCAGCCTCCAAACTTGACCCGGCTGTTTCCGAATGTGTGAACCATGCGCAGCTAGATGCCAACTGAGCCATGATGAGCCATAATAGTAGAGCCGGCGAAGCCGGTGGGCGGAAGTTTCAAAAATATAAACACTCTAGTTTTGTGTCTCTTTCTTTTCTTTCTTCTTCTTCCTGTTCCCGGTTTCTCTTTGTTCCGTCATTCTGTGCGTCTTCCTTTCTTTCTTTCTTTCTCTCCTTCCTTCCGCCCTTCTTTTCTTTCTTTCTTTCTTTCTTTCTTTCTTTATTTCTTTATTTCTTTCTTTCTTTCTTTCTTTCTTTCTTTCTTTCTTTCGTTTTGCTTGTTTTTGCGTTCTTTCTTTTATCTCTTCTCTATCTATGTATCTATCTGCCTACCTATCTATCTATCTCTCTTTGTGTCTATCTATCTCTCTTTGTATCTATCTCAATTTCTGTCTGTCTATGTTTCTATCAATCTATTTTTTATCTCTCTATCTATATATCTATCTACCTATCTATCTTTCTATCTCTCTATCTCTCTATCTATCTATCTATCTATCTCTCTATCTATCTCTCTGTCTATCTATCTCTCTTTCTACATATCTATCTATCCATCTCTCTCTCTCTCTCTCCATCTGTCTCTCGTTTATCCATCTATATATTTATTTATCTATCTATGAATCTATCTATCTATTTCTCTTTCCATCTATGTATATATCTATCTCTCTCTATCTATCTATCTATCCATCTGTCTATCTATCTACCTATCTACCTCTCTATCTATCTCTGTATCTATATCTATTTATCTTTCTATCTATCTATCTCTCTCTCTCCATCTATCTCTCGTGTATCTGTTTATCTCTGTATCTATCTACCTATCTCTCTATCTATCTATCTTTCTATCTATCTATGCATCTATCGCTCTATCTATCTATCGTTCTTTCTTTCTTTCTTTCTATCTATCTATCTCTCTGTCTCTCGGTCTATCTATCTATCGGTCTATCTGTCTATCTATCTCTCGTGTATCTACCTGTCCCTCTATCTCTCTATCTATCCATCTCTCTCTCTCTGTTATCTATTTACCTATCTATCTATCTACCTATCCATCTATCCATCTATCTATCTACCTATCTATCTATCTTTTTTTGATCTGTCTATCTATGTGTCTATCTATCTATCTATTTATCTATCTATCTATCTATCTCTCTCTCTTTCTTTCTGTTTATCCATCTATCTCTCTCCTTTTATCTATCTACTTATCTCCCTATCTATTTGTTTATCTATCTATCTATCTATCTACTTTCTACTACTTTCTATCTAATCTATCTGTCTATCTACCCACCCACCCACCCACCTTTCCATCTATCTATCTCCATCTCTTTCATCTACATATCTACTTCTTTTCCACCTATCTGTTTATCTATCTATCTCTCTCTCTCTCTCTCTATTTATCTATCTCTTTCATTTTATCTATCTACCTATCTCTTTATCTATCTATCTACCTATCTGTTTATCTATCTACTTTCTATCTACTTTCTATCTAGTCTTTCTATCTATCTATCTATCTATCTACTTATCTATCTTTCTATCTATCTATCTCTCTCTCTCTCTCTCTTTTTCTTTTTTATCTCTCGATCGATCTATCTATCTATATCCACCTATCATCCATCTATTAATCTATCCATCTATCTATCTATCTGTCTATCTATCTATCTCTTTCTATATCTATCTATCTGTCTATCTGCCTATCTATCTATCTCTTTATCTATCTATTTATCTATCTATCTATCTATCTATCTCTCTCTCTCCTTTTAGTGTTGCGCCTGCCACGAAATCTGTACTTGACCTTGCGAAAGTGCTGCACCTGCCACGAAATGTGTACCTGACCTTGCCAAAGTGCTGCGCCTGCCACAAAATCTGTACTTGACCTTGCGAAAGTGCTGCGCCTGCCACGAGTTTGGCACTTGACCTTGCGAAAGTGCTGCGCCTGCCACGAACTCTATACTTGACCTTGCGAAAGTGCTGCGCCTGCCACAAAATCTGCGCCTGACCTTTCGAAAGTGCTGCGCCTGCCACTCGACCTTGCCAAAATGCTGCGCCTGCCACGCAATTCAATCCTTGCGAAACCTCTGCGTTGCCGTGCCAATGGGACCCGCTCCGACCAGACGCCGCGGACAGGCAAGCTTTCGCATCTCCGGATACGCCGATCCGCGCACAGGGCCACGCTTTGTGCGACTTCTTATCTTCGAAAACGCCGATTCACGCACAGGGCCACGCTTTATACGACTTTCTCTTCCCCTGCTACACTGCGCGCGCAGTTTTTCTCGCGGGCTTATTCCTTCTATATCTTGTCTCAGAGAGCTGGCTTTCAATTAGTTGCCGTAACACGGAAGTTCCTTCTAAACTTCCTTTGATCAGTTCGCTTGCGGGAAGTCATCACTATCCAAACGCCAGTGTCCGAAATCGTTCTCACTGCTACTTGAGAGCCCGACTTCGCCCAAGGAATTTCGCCACCTGTTTCTCCCGCAAGCCCAGGTGCCAAAGGAGTTATGGGAGCAGTTCGCTTTGGATGAGGATTCGCTGACGAAGGAGGTTTCTCGGCGTGACGTGTTCGACTTGGCTCGGAGCTTCCGGGCCCCAGATTTCCGGGGGTGTCCACTTGAGGAGACTGAAACAAGTCGTTCCAGCCATCCTTTTGGTTGCTTTCCTTCGGGGTTTTGCCTGGCAGTGGCAGGCGATTACGTAGCCTGTAATGGTTCATTATCCCACAACGAAACTCAAAGAAAATGGGTGTTTGTCCAGACTCCCTACGCAACCCCCAGGTATACGAAGTTGTTTCTTTTTCTGAGACTGGAAAAGGCAGTGCGCGTTTGGCGCAGGAGCAAGGAGTTTGGTATGTATACATATGTACCGTTTGGCAAATTAGACTCGTCATGGGCATTTGGGGAGCCAAGGGGCCAGGCATGTTGATATGTTTACCAAATGGGGAGCTGAGAGACCCAGTTCTCACCAAACTCATTAATCTCACTGGTCAGTAAAGCCCAGTCGTTTTAAGCTACTTGCCGAGCAGGTCCTCCAAATGTACACCCGTTCCTGGATTACAGTATGCTCACTGATCATGAAGCTTGGCAACGCCTAGCCACACCCTTGCGCTTTTCAGAGAGTAAAGGGATTCATGACATATCCCACCAACACTTAACTTTCAGCAAGGGATCAAGGAACCACTAAGGAAGGTCTTTTGCTTGAGAGTCAGTCGAAGCCCATTCGGGGGGGACCGTAAAGCCAACCATAGCTCTGAGTGCCTAGATTGAACCACGCAGCACACGTTGGAAAGGGTCAGAAGGGTTCATGTGGACCCTTGGCGGGGAGGAATACGTCGTCCAACTTCACAGGTAAAAGAAGGACCCCTCCTCTAAATGTTAAATCATGAGAGAGACTTCACAAAACCGGAGGCTTCTTTCAAGCACGCGGGGCTACTTTTGGCCTTTGACTTATACTGCAGGGTCCAAGAGGGCAATTCTGGTTGTATACCTGAGCTAATGGGGTCAGCGCCTTGGAAGCGCGTGTGTTGAGTCGGAAGCGCGTGTTTTGATGCCCACACTTTTGGGGAGAATATGAGGAGTCCTAGAAGTGCCAAGTCGAAAGGTGGTTGGGTGATTCAAAGCTGACCCAGCTGTTTGCCAGATGTTAGTGGCTTTCCTTGTTCTAGTTGTGTTTCCCTTATTGTAGTGGTCCTTCAAGAGAGCCAGGTCGGCGCGAACATCCTGCGACTTGGCGGAGCTTTCCCAGGGGGTGCCGCGTTTCCCGCCAGCTTGGAGCCAAACGAAAGACCCCACTACGGCTGTGCCTGATCTACGAATTCCTCGGACAGATTAAGACCTAGTTTCGATTCGCAGGCGAAACTGGGTTCCCTCATTTCTTGTTTGGGAATTCAAGGGCTGCCGCCCTGTGCCGCCGAGCCCTGACCTCTGTCTCTGCCACGGGGGTGGCGGAGACAGGCGGTTATCATGACTGCCATGGCAGCATCCCCTGCGCCCCAGCGCTGCCTCACGTCACAGCTGGGACGCAAATAAGGGAAGAATAAGAAAATAAAGAGACAGGCATGCTGATGACCCTGGTGATGATGCTGATGCTCATGCTGGTGACGATGATCACCAGGATGATGAGGATGATGATGCTGGCTGTGTGATGATGGTGCAAAGAAAGAGGCAAGCGTGATGATGACACTGGTGATGCTGATGATGATAATGATCATGCTAGGGGTGCCTGATGATGATCTTTCATCGTAGCATGCCCTGCACAACGGTGACTGGTGATACATGTCAACCATGACTATCGTCGTAGCATCTCCAAGCAGTTGCCTGATGATGATTGTCCCCTGCATCCCCAGCGCTGCCTAACGTCACAGCTGAAATTTCTATAAATGACGACGATGATGATGATGATGATGATGATGATGACGACGCCTGGACACGGGCAAATTTCTAGGCGAAACGTGCCCCAACAGGAACCCAACAGATGTCAAACAGGATCCCCAGCATCACCAGGGCTTCTTATGCCGGATGTTTGAGTACGGCCGGAGGGAGAGGCAACATGCCCAACATCAGCGCAGAGCCTGGATTTGCACATCCCTCTCATACTCTTTAGATTTTGTTTAGGTTAGGGGTCGACGGCGGACAGCACATGTAAGAGCTGGGATCAACTCACCCTTCCCGGGTCGGCGGATTGACTGGTATTTCCAAGGTTCAGGTGTCCCTATATCCTTTTTGGTGGATTTGAACATCACCTTTTTTGCCCATGTAAGGTGAGCTTCCCTTCATAAAGCTGATGTTTTGAGGGGAAATCACTCGGGAGTCCTGAGGTTCCTTGAGAATTGTTTCTCCGGCAGCCTCAGTCAGGCTCCGTGTTAGTGGGAGGGTATTCTAATTCCCTCATCCCCTTTGACACATGTACCAAGATTCTGATTCACACAAGACCTGTTTAAAGCTGTTGCCATCACGGTAGCTTCCAGCTGATGACACACGGTGCGTGGATTCAGGATCATCAAGCCCCTGCTGCCGTGGTTTTGAAATTTTGGGGTGCTGGTGTGCAGCGTCCCTGATGGCTCTCGCGTGCCCACCTTTAGTCACGCCAAGGCAACAAAGACGAAGTTTAGATAAGGATAGGTTTTCGGGATCGTTGAGGAAGCCAGCCAGGAAGAATAATAACACCAGCGTAGACCCCAGATAACACATCACGGCTACGAACCATTATGCAGCATCATAATGGTTCCCGAGGCATCATGATGATGTTGACAGCATCATGATGATGTTGAAAGCATCATGATGATACCACAGCAACTCAGCATGTGCGCTAAATAGACACGAAGACAGCGTCCTAATGAGTTCAGCAGCAAAAATGATGATGTTGACAGCATCATGCTGATGCACCAGCAACGAACGATTCCGCGCCACATATCTAGCAGAAAAAAGGCAGAGACGACGTCCTGATGAGTTCGACAGCATCATGATGATGCGGCCAGCATCGCGATCATGCGGACAGCACCACCATGATGCGGACAGCATCATGGTGATGCGAACAGCATCATGGTAATGGTAAAATTGAAAAGGCAGCATCATGATGATACCACAGCCACGAATCTTCTCGCGACAGCGTAGTGAAATTCAGCATCATCCGGATGTTGGCAGCAATCATGGCGCCACCACACCCACGAACCATAACGCAGCATCGCAGCATCGCAGTGACAGCAGCATCATGACGCGGGTGACAACATCATGATGACACACCAGCCACGAACCACGCACCATGACAAACGACTGTTAGACTACTAGAGCAGCAACAACGTCCGAACCGGTTCAATGGCATCATGAAACAGCACTCCCGCCCTAGCACGCCGTCCATATGCGCCCACACCGTCACCAACACCTCAAGACAGCAGCCCCAACAGCACCCCAACGCAGCGCCCGCACCAGCATTGGACAGGTCCCCGAGCACCGAGCACCTTGCCGTCACGTACCAGCCCGAACAGCACCTCAAAACTGTACCTGCGCCAGCACCCCAAAGTGCATGCCCCCTAGCTCCCAACCGTCGATCTTGCAACACAATCCCACTTCTTCATTAGAAGTTAGAACCCCGGCAACCCAACACAGCAGTTGCACCACCACCCCAAACTGCGTCAAGCTCGCAAAACAGCACCAGCACCCCGAACTACATCTGGCACCCGGCCGTCAATCTCGCAAAACAGCACCTCCACCAACACCCGAAACTGCATGCCCCCTAGCACCCGGCCATCACTCTCGCAAAACAGGCAAACACTCTCGCAAAACAGCACCTCCACCAACACCCCAAACTGAATGCCTTTAGCGCCCGGCCAACTCTCGCAAAACAGCACCTCCACTAGCACCCCAAACTGCATGCCCCCTAGCACCCGGCCATCACTCTCGCAAAGCAACACCTCCACCAGCACCCACTGCATGCCCCGTAGCGCTCGGCCATCAATCTCGCAAAGCACCTTCACCAGCACGTCACACCTGGCACCCGGCCGTCAATCAGCACCTCCACCATCACTGTCGCAGAACAGCACCTCCACTAGCACCCCAAACTGCATGCCCCCTAGCACCCGGCCATGCAAAACAGCACCTCCACCAACACCCCAAACTGCCTGCCCCCTAGCACCCGGCCATCACTCTCGCAAAACAGCACCTCCACTAGCAGCATGCCCCCTAGCACCCAGCCATCACTCTCGCAAAACAGCACCTCCACCAACACCCCAAACTGCATGCCCCCTAGCACCCGGCCATCACTCTCGCAAAACAGCACCTCCAACACCCCAAACTGCATGCCCCCTAGCACCCGGCCGTCAAGCTCGCAAAACAGCACCTCCACCAGCACCCCAAACTGCATGCCCCCTAGCACCCTGCCATCACTCTCGCAAAACAGCACCTCCACCAACACCCCAAACTGCATGCCCCCTAGCACCCGGCCATCACTCTCGCAAAACAGCACCTCCGCCAGCACCCCAAACTGCATGCCACCCGGCCGTCAATCTCGCAAAACAGCGCCTCCACCAACACCCCAAACTGCATGCCCCCTAGCACCCGACCATCACTCTCGCAAAACAGCACCTCCACTACTAGCACCCCAAGCTGCATGCCCCCTGGCACCCGGCCGTCAAGCTCGCAAAGCAGCACCTCCACCAGCACCCCAAACTGCATGCCCCCTAGCACCCGGCCCTCAATCTCGCAAATCACTTTTCCTTCTTTATTAGAAGTTAGAACCCCTATAGCTTTCAGCTATCTGGGGAAATACTTCTCAGTCCTTGCCTGTTTGTTTTCCTCAAGTTCAGGAAGATAGATTGAGAATTTAGAAGTTCTCATCTGCAGTCACTCGTTGATGCGCTTTGCTTCAGGTAGCAGGGACATTGCAAGAACAACCCACTGAAGGTACACAGTTGGGACCCTGCAATTCCCTTTTCCGTACGGTTTAAACACCTTTGGAGCCACTTTTAGATTCGTTTCCTGGCGAGTCATTGTTGAAGGGGAAATTCTGGAGAGAGCAGTTAATGGGATTCCCATGCCCTTCCCCGCAGAATTACATGTCAAACGAGAGCCATGGACTCCAAAAGCAATTCGAATTCTTGGGGGAAAGTGGTCGGCGTATTGGTGCTGCCAGGGGCCAGAGCAAGCAGGCAGTTTTTGCCGGCATGGCTGATGTGCCCATGTACTGCGCGCAACCTGCGTGCACCCCAAGCATCAACCCACTCCAAGTCCGCTTAAGCAAGCCCCACAAAAGTTTCGATTCGTTTGCCACGCGTTCAGTGCAAAATCCTAGAGGCATAGTGCCTGCTGCTCCGGCCGGCAACCCCACGAGCGCAGAACTTCTCACATCCGAACTTTCTGGATGAGGGAGGGGACTTTCACTCCAAAGGCCATCCAGATCCCCGCTAAATGGAACAGGGGTTTCCTGTGAAATCGGCAAAGTCCTTGGGGAGTCCACAGTCCGCGCGGCCTTTGCTTTCTGAACAGTACTCGGGTTGCACAGGACCAGGGAACTTGCCTGTGAACCGCATAGCAGCCTACCTTGGCCTCGTTCAAGGCACACAAGCCAGTTGCAGGAATTCAGGCGAATTTCTAGGTTTCTTTCTCCCCGAGCGAAAGCGGCGCTCAGCTTTCCATGCTTGCTACGGCGTCCAAGGAGTCGCCGTGACGAGGCCAGGAGGCAAGTGCAGGAGCAAGTGCAGGCGGGATCCAACGCTTGGGTTCCTTAAGGCCTGGCCCAAGGCGAAGGTTCGGCGTTGGCCATGGCTCACCGTATAATCTCAGTTGTTCAGTGGCTCCAATTCTTTTTCTTTTTCATTGTTGGTGGCTGCCCCACTAAAATGGTCCAAGCCCCAAAAAGGGTTCCCTGTTTTTCCAGGGTCACTGAACAACTGAGTAATATACTTAATATTTAACATCATGTTTAGTAGAAGGTAAAACATGATAACTGCAACTACAACACAAGATAATTGATATTGAAGTTCAAAGCTCAAAAATCATATAATCTTGGTGTAGCTAATCGTATATGTTGGTATTCCGAAATGTTCAAAAGCTAGCTGGGGGGGATCCAAGGAGGGGTGCGTTGAAGGAGGGAGCAAAGGAGCTAGGAGTCCTGGAAGGAGATACTGATTTCTGCGATTCCAGGTGCCATCAATACTGTGGATGGACGAAATCCTGCACCACGAAACCCTGGAATGATGATTTTTCTGTAAATGCAAACAAGCACCCAACAGTAGCAACCATACATGTGATTTATTGTCCCAAAGGGAAACCGACGAGGGAATGTTTTTTTTCCGGGCCCCCTATTTAGCACCCAGGATTTGACAAGTTGAAAATCTGGGCCCCTTGAAGGATATCACTTGAAGCCAGTCAAAATGTCACCCAAATACCAGCTGATTCAGAGGATGCCCTTGGAAAGCAGCGGTTGCTCTGTTAATGTGCCTTTTCAAGTATCAGCGATTTTGCAAGCTGGAAGCTTTGCCAAACCCTCCTGTCCACTTCCATGGTTGTTTGAAAGCAAGAACGAGCCTTGCCATGTGCCATGAGTCAATGAGTTGCGCAACTTGATGTGTAGCTGCGGTGCAAAGTAGCCACTATGTTGTTCAAGTTCCTCATAAGGAAACCCAAAGAACATTGGTACTTGTCTAATGCTGGAGCTAATCGCCCAAATTACGGCCCCATGAATCTGATTACGAGAAGTGGATCCGTTCTTTCTGTTTGTTCTGCCTGAATGTCTTTTGGGATGGTAAATGGTTGCCAGTGAGAGTTTCAGAGTTGAGGTAAACCTGAGGTCGCCGCTTTCTGTAGGCCTTAGAAGGGCGGGGGAAACCACGCTTGTTCCATTTTTAAGACAACAGTGGACCCCAGGCACGCTTGTAGCCAGGGAGCCTTTAAGGGATCCAGGGGTTACGCAGTTCCCCCCCATGCTGGAGCTGCCTGGAGGCCTTGTGGTGGATTCTGGGGTAAAAGCCAATCGGTGGATGAATGAATCCTGCACCAAAGAAACCCTGGCATAATGAGTGAAAACCAACAAGCACCGGTTTCTCATGGTGCGAAATGGATTTGGTTCACCCACAGTATAAACCACCCCTTGTTATTTTCAGCATAGATTCATCCCCAAAAAACCCCGAGCGAATTCCTCGCCTTTGGAATCCCACCGCTCTTTTTTTCCATTGCTTCTTGAGGGTCATGGAGAGTCCAGGTAATAACTGGCAGCAAAAAAAACCGGGGCCCCAGAAACCCCAAGTTGTAACTCCCTGCTGGACTCCCACCGCCTTTTTCTCCTGTGCGGACGGCAGGCCGCGCAGCGGGAGCAGCCCCTTGCCAGCCTCCCTCATGGGGGAGGGGGGGGTCCAGGAGTGGGAGCCATACCTAGGTCCTCCAGTAGTGCCCTTTTACCCTTTTTGGGGGGAGGGTTTCCCTACTAAAATAGACTACAGAAAAAACGGGTGCCCTTATTCTAACCTGTCTACTGGAGGACCTAGATACTGTGAATGGACGAAATCCTGCACCACCCAAGAAGCCATGAGGAACCATTGTTTGTTGGTATTTACAGGGGAATAATATGGAATCATCATTCCCAAGGTTTCTTAGGTGGTGCAGGATTTCGTCCATCCACAGTAGGTGTCCTTTTTAGGTTACTTTGGTTCGAAATAGATGGGTTAACCCATTTATTGTCCCAAAAGGACCTATGCTTGACTGCTATTGGGTTGGATCTTTAGACTTGAACTTTTTGTGGAAATCAAGGGAGTTTTCCACCAACCCCAAAAAAAGTTAACTTTTTGCAGAGAGGTCAACAGACACCAAGTATGGAGTGGGAGCCCTGCTTTTGCTTTCTCTGCCCATCGTTTTCGGGTTGATCGGACCCGTGACTTTCTTTGCCAGACGCTGGCCCCCCTACCAAGATCTCCTTGCGCATGTTTGTCCATTGTAAGGTTTACAATTTGCAGGTCAAGAAGCACAAATTCTACATGTAATTATAAATCTGGTTGAAAGGAATTGAAATAACAGTTGGGTGCACACAGATTAATCAACTAGAACGGGGGGATGTCTGATTTCCGGTGTGAATTTATCCGACGTGCGGCGAAGCCAAGTGCTTCAGCCTTCTCACGCTGGCAGCTGAGGCGAGACCAGAGGAAGGTGCAGTGGCGGCAGCAGGCGAATCGGGATCCTTTCATTGCGTGATCTCTGGCGCATGGACGACCCATGATGACCCATGGCTTGAGAACTTCTGATCATATTGATCATAACTGTTTGGTGTGCTTGGGCTGCGCTGCAGATGTGACCCGTTTGCTTGGGCCAAGTTTCTGTCATCCGGTTTCGCCCCGAACTTCAAGTCGAGGGAAGAAACCTTTTTTTTGGAACCTGGTAATTACTTCCTTTTGGGGTTGGTTTCAAGGGAAGGCCGATTTTGGGGTTCAAAACTCAAAGAAGGCAAACCCCAAATGAGTCACTGGCTCAAAACCCGGGTAGATGAAGGTTAGCAAGGGACGATCCCAACCGATAGCTGCGGAATTCCGCCTTATTAATTCCTGAAGCATGGTTCTGGGGATCGACAATTTTTGTACCGGCCGATTTTGGGGTTCCAAACTCAAAGAAGACAAACTGGGGGTTGTCTCAATTGGGGGTTGCCGATTTTGGGGAACCCTCATTTGGTTTCAAGGGAAGGCCCAAATTGGCTTGAAATTCATCCCATAGGCCGAGACGTGCCTGTCAGAGCTCGAGAAGTATTTGAGACAAGAGACCCGCGCAGGCGACAAGCTTGGTGTCCAGCGGGAAGGGCATGGGGCGTGATAGATGGACCCGCGTGTAAGACATGCTGAAGGCACATTGACATGTATATATATATATGTAGATATATACAAATGCACACATATACACATGTATCTCACTTCTTGAGTTCATGGACTTCATTCTTCTTGGGAAGACCATGTTGGTGGCGTACAGCAAGTTTAGACTTGTTTGGCCAACCCACTCAGAATGTGCTATATATATATATATATACACGTGTGTGTGTGTGTTCTGTTGGCTTGCTGAATGATCTGAATGATGGTGGCTATTGAACAGATGACAAAGGGAGTGGTGGCCTAGTCTGCAGAAACCAGTTGGGAGCTGACGCAGCTCTCTTGCCATGATCCATTAACCAGGATGCCGTTTTGTGAGAGATTGGTTATTGCAGAGGTGGATCTGCCAAGATTAACTAGGTCCCCGAGTAGTGCCAACTTTTAACCCCTTTTTTTGAGGGATGGTTCCCCTACTAAAATAGACTACAGAAAAAAGGGTGCCCTTATTCTAACCCCTCTACTGGAGGACGTAGTTAAAACGACTAGTTCAGAGGCTCTTTCCACACGATACCAGCAAGTCGAAGCATCAAGATGCCAGCTGATTTGGAGGGTCCGAACCACTGCAAAGCAGTTGCTTTATGGACGTATGCCTGAGGTAACGCTGGTTCACCTTATATTTGGCAAAGGGCCCTTTGCAGTTTGAACTTTGTTTGACCTGTTATTCTGCGAGACGCATCTTAGAACATGCTAGGATGGATGCGGCGGAATAAATGCGAGCAAGAACCAAATTGGTTGAATTCCACATCCTAGTGCTTTGTGTTCTTGCTTGGATCCTGTGGTAAATAGGTATGTGGAAGTGTCTTTTTAAAAGGGGACCTTCCAAAATCGCTGGGTTGTCCTTTTGGTTTCCCTTTAAAACCACCAAACAAATGAACCCTCTAAAAAGACCACACCCAATGTGTCTCGCCTCTCTGCTCCCGGGCAATCAAATCAGCGGGTTGGTCTTGGAAGGTTTCCTACGGCAGCAAACATTTTCAGGCAACCATTAGTTGGTAGTTTGGATTGCTGGGAGATGTGAAGTCCAGTTCCGTGTGAAGTCCCATGGGGCAAGTATTCCCCAACGTGCAAACCACCAAACCAAATCACAAACTAGAGGAAAGCTGACTTTTTGTTTGGATAATTGAAACCACACGAGGTCTGCTACTTTTGGATCCCTTTGCCCTTTCCCCTTTGGTAGGCAGACAGGACCAGATTCGTCCCGCAACACCATGATGAGTGGGCCATGAGATATGTGCAGCCAGCTGGACACTCCGAGGGATGCCCTGAAGCACGCACGTAAGCTAACCAAGCTTGACCACACCATGGAACAGAACGTCAAGTTAGGAGGTTTGCTTGCTTCCTTACCTGCAATATGAAGGGCATCCACCTTCCCTCGAGCTCCGGAAAGTCCCCTGCCCAGGCGTTGAGGTCACGCGATTGGATGACGGCCGCAACTTCGAGGCGATGAAGATGGCCATGCAGGACTCACCAACTATGCCGCCTTTCTGTCTTGTTTTCGTGGCACCGTTCTCCACTTTGTCGGCGGGGGATTTCATGAAAATCAACTACGCAAAAAGAGGGTGCCGTTTTGGTCCCCCAGTGAGCAGGCGCAAGTGCTGATTGTTCGACGATTTTCGGCGCGCACTCGCCTTGATTTTTTTCGGTGCTCGGTTGGCATGTTCAGGTACCCAAAGCTTTGGTGCGGATTGGTGGGGATTTGAAGCCTGTCACTCCCTAAGCGCTAAACCACCGAACCACCAATTAAAGGAAAGCTGAAGCCTCTCTTGCGGCCATCGACGGCCCAGTGTGGCCCAGCTTCCGCTTTTTCGTTGAGCCCACCCTTCAGACTATCAATGCAAAAGCGCGATTCAACCCCCCATGAATCATTAGACAAATGCGGATTCATTTCCTAAGGAATGCATAAACTGACAATCCTATAAATTGGGACAGTCATTCCTGGAATGGGGGTTGAACCCTAGCTAGTTCCCCCAGTAGTACCCTTTTACCCTTTTTTGTGGGAGGGCTCCCCTACTAAAATCGACTACAGAAAACAAGTTGGTACCAACTTATTCTAACCTCTCAAATCTGGAGGACCTAGCTAGGGAATCAAAGAATGAACTGTTCATTTGCTTAAGCCCCAGAGAATTGCGAGCGACAACATGTCCAGCAGTTGATTCCCAGTAAAAAAAAAGATTCTTTTGATCGGGGGGTGAACCGGAGGGTTCCCCTTCCTGATCCAGGCACTACTCCTGTGTGGGGGGGGGGCATTCTCAGCCGGAGGAGTTCCTGAAGACGAGAGAGCAGTGCCTGCAGCCCCGCGGCACAGGTTTGATTTCCCAGGTTCACATGGAAGTAGGTGTCCTTCTTGGTTTGGTTCGACGCAGATGGGGTTCACCGGTTTAGATTGGTTTTGTTCCATTTACCAGGGCCATCTATTGTATGAAAAGGACACCTGCTGTGGATGGACGAAATCCTGCACCACATTGAAACCTGTCAAGACATTGTGCGTTGGCCTTTACAGGGGAATCACAATTTCAGGGTTTCTGAGGTGGTGCAGGATTTCGTCCATCCGCAGTAGGTGTCGTTTTTGCGGGTAGGTTTGGTTAGATTTCACCGGTTTAGATTGGAAAATGCAATTTGCAAGCCCATATATTGTCTGAAAAGGACACTTATCACATATATGACCCAGCAAACATGTTGTACAAGAAGTACCTTTTTTGAACACCTCTTTTTTCTGGGGGGGGGGGGGGGGCGGGGGTCCGTGTGAATTTGCGAGGGGGAATCCTACAGTTGGGTCTGAAGACTTAAGCCTGAATGCGAATCACTCACAGACTGAACGCCTTAGCCTGAGGAGGAATTTCCTTGCAGGAATGGTGGGTTTTGTTGCGTATGGTTTGACTGCAGCTCCTAAGTAGCCTTCAGTTTTCCTAAAAATGCTCCCGAAGCAAAAGGTGAACTGTTTCGGCGAGCTTTGGACCTGTGAACGAGTTGTTTTTTGAAGGGCAGGGACAGCCGGGCAGCCCAAAACCAGATGGCGCAATCAATTGCTTTGCAGTTCCAGCCAGGCCCTTGTGCTTTTACACGTTTTTCGGTTTCGTGGGGTGTGTAGAGAAGGTTGACGCTCATGAGTTCAGTGTGGGCTCCGTTGGGGAGGGGGCTCGACAAGGTTTTGCAGCTCATCTTTCGAGGGGTCTACGTGTCGCTGGAATTCATGCCTCGAGTTCAGTATTTTATACTACTTTCTTGACTGCTATTGGGCAACGGACCTTTAGACTTTTTCGCTTTTTGGTTGAAACCAAGTTGCGTTTTCCACTAACCCCCCAAAAAGTTGTTCACTTTTTGCAGGGGGGTCAACAGCAACCAAGCTTTGGGCAGGGTGATTCTTACAGTTTGGTTTCCGTGCTGGCTGGGGGTCCGGAGAAGATCTAGTATGTTTTCAGATGGGTTTCCCTGACTTCAAATAGCAATTCTGAACCCAAGGATGGCCTAGTCAATAACAACCTTAAAGTGCGTACCGTTTTGGGCTATTTGGTAACGGACTTAAACTTTGTGGTAAGTGGGTTCTACTTTCTGACCCACAGAAAGTGAACAACTTCTTCCAGACCAATCAGAGAGGGGGCACAATGATCTACTTCTGACGAATGTTTACATGGCTGGGGTCGCAAAAAGTAATTGAGGGACATATTCGCGCTGCGCATTTACGTTACTGGGGTCTCAGAAGACATGGCCATGGGTCATAGCTTAGGGCTTGCCTCTATCAATAAATTGCATGCCTTCTTTACGCGGGCAAGGAGGGGCTGCACAGGCTTTCCGACTCGGCAACATTTACTCTAATTTTGCGGAACGTTCACCCCCAATTTTGTGGGTTATTTACCCCCAATTTTGTCCAATTTTGTTGGTTATTTACCCCCAATTTTGTTGGTTATTTGCCCCCAATTTTGCCGGCAATTTACCCCCAATTGTGTGGGTTATTTACCCCCAATTTTGTTGGTAATTTACCCCCAATTTTGTTGGTAATTTACCCCCAATTTTGTGGCAATTTATCCCAAGTTTGGGACTCGTTATGAACCCCCAATTTTGGAAATTTGGGGGTTAATAACGAGTCCAAAAATTGGGGGTAAATCCCAGGTTTCCCAACGGTATACGAAGATTTACCCCCCAATTATTGGACTCGTTATTAACCCCGAAATTTCCAAAATTGGGGGTTAATAACCACAAAATTGGGGGCAAATTGCCCACACGATTGGGGGTAAATAACCCACACAATTGGGGGTAAATTACCGACAAAATTGGGGGTAAATAACCAGCAAAATTGGGGGTAAATAACCAACAAAATTGGACAACATTGTGGGCAAATAACCCACACAATTGTGGGTAAATTACCGACAAAATTAGGGGTAAATAACCAACAAAATTGGAGGTAAATAACGACAAAATTGGGGGTAAATAACCCACACAATTGGGGTGATATTTGAGGTAAACTGGTGGTAAAGAGTTACTGTTACAAGCAAGGCTTAAGTCATAGCCTATGCCTCCATTTTGGGGGTGGATGAACAGCCATGTACCACCTATTTTGATGTTCACCAAAAGTACATGGTTTTGACCCTCAGCCACATTCTGTGCTTTAAATCTATCCAAGTTATGTTTTAGGTTTTTTAGGGATTTCAGGGTTTAGGTTGACCCAGTTCGTGGTTTAGGTTTGATTTAGGTACGTTTTGGCCGCCAAGTTGCTGTAGCTGGCAGCTCTCGGCTAGGCTGGGGCTGGAGATCGGGGCAGAGAGGACCATGGAGGGCGCCAGACAGGCCGCGAGGCAGTTCTGCGCCACCTGGCGCGAGGGGAAGTTCGCGTTTTTTTCGGTTCGAAAGACGCGTCTTCTAGCTGTGGCTCAAAAACCGGAATTCCAAAATGGGTTGCCCTGGTTTGTGGAAACATGGACCAAAACCTGCGGTTTGCCCCTCCTGGCTAATTTTGAGCCACACCCTTTTGGGGTTTTCAGGGTTGCACTTTTCGACTACGGGGTAGACTTAAGCCCATGGGTGGTTCATCCCCCCAAAAGGAGAAGCCCGGGGCTTAAGTCTATCTTGGGGTAGTCAAAAAGTGGAACCCTGCCCTTGGGTTTTCAGGCTTTTTGGGGTTTCCATCCAAGACATGGGTTTACAGTACCAACTTTGTGGGTTGACCGAAGTTGGCAGGGAAGGGGACCCCCGTGGTTTCCAGTAACTTGACACACCCAGCTTTTTGGTTTAGCGGTTGGGTTTCCATATCCAACCCGCAAGTTAAGCTTTGAGCGGGGGATCTGGGGACAGCCGGAGTTGGTTTCGCAGCCTCATGGCTTTAACAGGCGGAAGCTCATGGAGACCAGGGGGGCGCTGGTTGTGCGGCGTTTGTGTGATTGTGAGCTTTGCTACGTTGAGGTTTGTCACAGGTAGTTCTGAACCACTCAGTGGGGTCCACGACAAAAGCACCTCATTCACGCCAGCGAAGCGGCAATTCTCTTAGCATCTTCGTGTTCACGCCTGTTTGGCATTGCTATATGGACCGTCTCCGGTTAGTTCTGCAGAGCAAGCGGGTGGCGAAGGATGAGAAGCTCGCCCCTTCAAGAAGCGGTTGCACACGCAGTTTCCCACAGCATCATGGGTCCTTCAGCAAACCTAGTAAGGAAAGACAAGTTTGTTCTTGCTTCTACTTTGCCTGCCCCTTGGGGTGCAAGACCAACAGAAACTCGAAGAAAACACAATCTCGGTTCATCTCTGGTTTGCAAGATTTAAATTGCAAGGCTCTAAGTTTGAACTGGAGTTTGATGGTATCTCGATCAGGGCTCGTTTATTCGACCTAGATTTGGAAATGGTGACCTCTACTCCTTTTTCCAAGTGGGAATAGAATTAAATTTATCTTTAAAGAGCCTAGTCAAGAAAGGCAATCTAGTTGAATCGTCAAATTTAGTTAGCTAGAAATATGAATTTGAAATAACTCTTGGATAGGAGGCCTTCTTTATTCACTTCGTTCTTTCTTTCGTCGTTCGTTCCCTATTATGTCACTGGTTCTTTGATTGTTGTTTTTGTTCGGTTCTTTCTTGCTTTCGTTTGTTTTTCCCCGTTCTTTTTGCGTGTTTGCCATTTATTGTTGTTTCTTTCTTTGCTGCCTTCCTTTCTTCCTTTTTGTTTTATCTATCTCTTTCTTTGTTTACTCTCTCTCTCTGCAACTCCCCTCAGCCAACGAAAGCCAACCATCGTCAACGAAACACACACGAGGCGTTTAAAGGTTGACCCACCCGAAGTCCACAGAGGGCCCTGCTTTTGACAGCTCAAACACACAAAAGGCTCGAAGTTGCGCGAGCCAAGACAAACCGCAAGACACAACAAGTTTTTGAGGGTCGACCCGCCCGAAGTGCGGTCCACCGATTTCGGGCTGCGCAGCTGTGAGACTTCGTCAGTCAGACGTCGCGACCGAGATGGTTTGCGCACGTGCGGACGAGCCGGGTTTATGCACAGGGCCAACGTTTTTTGCCTCGTTGCTGCACGCCAGTTCTCGCGATTTCTTCTTTTGTCCTGCTTTTGCACTCATAGCGCATGCATGTCTTGTAGAGAGTAAAAAAGGCTAGCCTCAAGCAGTTCCAGTACCACGGAAGCTTCTATCCACGCTTCCTTTCATGATCTTGGCTTCAATTAGCTGTAAAGTGCCCTGCCCCGTACGAGTTGTTGCGTGGCGTCCTTACCAAGGATCCAGCTGGCAAACAGAAAGGACATGAAAGGAGCCAGCTTCACAACTTTACAACCCCTCATATGGTTGCACAAAGACCGTGTTTTTTTGCAGCCCACTACCAAAGCTGAACACACACCCCAAAAACGAAAAGCAGAAAGCCAAACCACAGAGGAAAAACAGTAAACCCCAACAAAAAGCACAGAACAAACCAGTGAAAAACTAGGAAATGTACCCCCAACATGGCACTTTTGTTCAGTTTTCTGTTGCCCCCCCCGTGCCATGAACACTTAGAGTCTATTTTGCAACCATGAACCCTAAAAACCCAATACCCTAAAAGAAGGCAGTTGCAAAGTAGACCCTAAGTGTCCACCATACCCCCCCCCCTCTTCCCCGCTGGCTGAACGTTTTGAGCCTTAAGGAGCACGAGGCGCGGCAGGCCCGCGCCAAGGAGCGACTGCTGGAGCTGGGTATGACGCACAGCAGCCCGACGCGACGAGAAGCGAAGGGTTGTGTCCCAGGGCCCCTGAAAAGATACATTTTGCAACCATTTGAGCCACAATCAAAACCGTGAGGATCCGTCTTACCGTCAGGTCTGTTCGTGTCACGCATATGCAGGGCACGTTGCAGGGAGTCAAGCGCGCCAGCCACAATCAAAACCCGGGTAGATGAAGATTAATTAGTAAGGGGCAGTCCCGGCCAGAAATAGTGGCGGATATCCGCCTTCTTAATTCTTTACTATGGTTCTGGGTAGACCTTTTTAGTACCAGGTTTTGATTGCAACCATTTGAAACATGGTGATTTTTCAGCACCAAACTAAATGGAAACCAGCATTTACAAGGCAATGTTCAGGTGTACAATGTAAGGATCCCTGTTTCCCACAATGTCCATTTTGGGGCTGATCAACAAAGTTGGGAACCCACTAAGGGCTTCTTAAAAGATACATTTTGCAACCATTTGAAACATGGCTTTTCCACCAAAATAAATGGAAACCACATGAAACCACCATTTTTCAAAAATTTTTCCCTTGTTGGTTTTAACGGGAATCGATTTCACTGCTGGACATATTTTGTTTTTCCAGGGGTCTTAACCAAATGGAAGTGTCCGTTTTGGGGCTGTTCAACAAAGGTCCGGTTTTTCATGGGATGACCATGATGTTTCAACCACGAACTGGGAACAGTTATATCATAGTCACTTGGGCGCCAGGAATATTGATCAACTCCCCACTTGCTGAAGTTCAGCCCCTAAATTGGTGGTTTGGGATTTGAACCCCAGTTCCTTTTGAAACCCAATGGAGAAGGTTTGGTAGGAATCTTCCGATGTCTCAGCAGGGTTCCCTATGTTTCTCCTATGGTGATTTTAAGCATCACCTTTTGGCGTTCCGTTTGCTGAAATGAACAGGTTTCATGTTCCCTGTTGGTTTGAAAGGGAATCGATTTGACTACTGGAAATGGTCTCTCTTATTTCCAGGGGACGAAACAGCAAATGAAGGACAGCCATGGTCTGCCGTTCAGCGGATCTTAAAGAAGATCCACATCCTCGTAAAGCAGGTGGTGTTTAGATGTATCCTTCAAGGAACGCTCCGCATGCGGGAGTTTTGTCAAAACGATGGACCTTGGTTCGGTAGGTCTTTGAAGGGAAGCCAGCAGGGAACCAACCGTTTTGACCCAGTTGAATTTTGAAAAAACGCAGTCAAAGCCAGAAGTTCCACTTGGTGCACCAAGTGTGGAAGATGTTAGGAAGACATAGGTCTGAAATGGGCCATGGGCCCATCGCAATGTTCAGATCCTGCTTAATGTTTAACCAACCTGGAGAAGTTTCAGACGTTTTTGTTGGAGTCATTTAAGCCACCCTATGGCTTCCATTCGAGCAGCTCTGTGAAGACCTTTTTGGGCCATTTATCCCCCAACATGGCTCCAGCTTCGCCATTTATTGGGAAGAAAGCTTGTGCGTGTTGCGGGAGTCTGTTCGGTCACGTTCAACATCACATGTCCATGTTGATGTATATATGGCGGCAGAAAAGAGAACTGGGGAGGGGGTGCGGCCCATGATGAGAATTCCTAACTCGGGCATTAGTTACCTTCCATGTGCTTGAGAATGTCTTTTATTATCCCCTCTTCGTTTTAAAGGGAAACGGTAACTGCTGGACACATTTTCATCAGGGTACCACAGCAAACCGAGTTATTATTTGCGCTTTGGCATGACAATGACTTGCCCCGATTCAGTGGCACAAATCATGCCGACCAAACGAGTCATGTGCGGGAAGGGATGTGTGTAAGTAGTGTCCTGGTTGGGTTGGTGGTTCTGGGGCATGCGATTGCGAGCTGCTCAGTGTTTTTGGCTTGATCGATTTTTCCTGAGGCCGCAAAGAAGCAATGTGTTGACAGTTGGTGGGAATTATGGTGCTTGGTGTGTGCCTAGGTTGTTGTGTGTACAGTTGTTGTTTGCATGCTCACCCAGCGCTGTGAAGGTTGCAGTTGTGCTGTGTTGCTTGCCGCGCCTGATGGTGTTGGAATGCTTTCTGTCAGAAACATTGCCATGGTCATGGTTCCCTTAGTGAGAGTTCTTACCATGGTTGTCCAAGCCTCTTATCGAGGGCTCCATGCCCAACCCTACCAAGACCAAAGGGTCACAGGCAGCGGCAGGTTTGTCAGAAACAAGGAATGCTAGGTCCCCCAGTAGTGCCCTGTTACCCTTTTTAAAAGAGGGTTCCCCTATATACTAAAATAGACAACAGAAAAAGGGGTAATTATATATTCTAACCTCTCCACTGGATGACCTAGCCTGTGTTGCCAGCCGAGGCGTCGTGAACATTCTGCAGCAGAGCGGCTTGGCGAGGTGAAAGCTGAGGTTGGTTGCTTACGTGTCACAAGCACTTTTACCCGCACATATCTATACGCATACACGCGCCTGCACATACCCACACACTCCATGCCGGTAATGTATCCAACATTTGAGCCATTAGAGGGTACAAGTTGAACATATACTATACATGGAGTTCTTGGATACGTCTAAGTCTAGAAGTGCCTATAGCTGAGAGCGCGCACTTGACTTTGTGAGCCTTCCAGGGAATGTAGCGTTAAATCCTCTACTTCTTTGAAAGCATGCCAGGAATATGACTACTGAAAGTGTATTGATCTTCAAGCAGAACTTCAGAATGGTGTTGTAGTCTAGACTGGCGTGAGGCTTGTTCCGACGGCTGAACTGAATCAAGCATAGTTCACAAGCCTTTCCCCTCCACTTGTCCAGTTGTTACTTTGCAGTTGTACTTCTAACAGCCGGTCATTGTCTTGGTGTTGCGTTTTCCGTCTGTGCAAGACATACAGTGCTAAAATGGTTTCGTGTGTGACTCTCCAGCCTAACCCAAGCCACAGGGAACCGCACTTGCCTACCCAAAAACGCACTGTGGAACACCTGATTGTTGTTGTTAAAGAGCGGGCGGCTTGGTAAGTGATTGTTGCTATAATGGTTGCCCACCTCTGACTAAGTCACCGATCACCATGGTATGCACCCCATTGCGGTTCCTGCTTGCGAGCTGCAACCCACCGCTTCTCGGAAGATGGTCACTGAGCACCGAAGGTTTCTGTGTAAAGCCTTCCCAACGACGAAGACGGAGTAGGTTCACTGTGCTTGAAGCCGGTAGAGGGCCCCCTCAGCACATCGGTGAAACGTGACTGGACGGGAATTCAGCTAGTGAGTTACATGTGGAAACTTCTTACTTTGCAGATGAATAGCACAACGCCCAAGAAAACCCCCTTTTGTCAAAGGAATCTCCTTGGGAGCCCCCTTGGCTTCGTGAATCAATTGGAAATGGGAGGGGCTCCCCTCAGGTGCGGCGAAAGGGCCGTTAATCGATCCCGTAGGAGTGATCGATTGGTCCAAGATCGATGGGTCCAAGGTGAGTAGGCATTATAGTATCTATTGCGGGTCACTCATGCTGAAACCAGCTTGTTTTCAAGTGGCAACGGTTTCACCTGGCTCCCGGGAATCGTGGACCCTGTTCAGCATTTGGCCGATAGGGTTACAGTGATAGGGTCGCAGTGAAGTGATGGGTGTTTAAACGTGTTTAAACACTGAGTCTTCAGATGGAGGAGGATTCACGTACGGAGAAGCATGCCTTCCTTAGAGTGTGTTGTATGTTATTAGCACTTGCTGAGTTGCGCCTTCTCTATTTGCTTTGTGGCGAGCTCATTTGGAGGACACGATCACTAAGATGAGCTCACCATGATGTAGGTCCTTTACTTGGGTATCCCTTCTTTCGCGAAACCGAGACTTGCGATCCCATCCATGACGCACCTGTGTGCAGGACCAAGTTCTATTTCATGCAATGGGTTGCTCCAAGCCTGGTGATCAAATCCCAAGGGCAAAGCTAACACTTGCAAAAGCAAGGTTGTTGGAGCCCTGGCAGGATGAGAAGTCATCTACCATGAATCTAGCAAAAATCCCAAAACGTGGAAGCGCCGCTCGTGGATCCCTCGGTTTAGGGCCACGTTAAGTGCACGAGCGCATGTTCCAGATGTTCCTGAACTTCGCAGAGTGGTCAGCAAACCTGGCTATAACCCACTTGCCCTGTCTTGGTGGCTCCCAGCCATCCCCTCAGCCTTCTAGCCTTTTAGCCTTTTAGTGTTTAGTGGTAGTTTTCATTTAACCCACGAAAAGTTAAACTTTTAGCAGGGGATTGAGGGGGCTGCCCATTGATGTAAGTCCTCGTTGTGTGTGTTATATCTCCAGGGCTGGATAACCACTCAGCTACCCCCAAGTCCCAGAAGGGGCCGAAACCCTGCACCAGTTGGGATGGAGACCGCCCGAAAAGGGTATAAACCGTCTATGAGCTAAAGCGGACTTGTTCATTCATGATAGTCCCCCCTAAAATGTTGGTTTCCTGGTGGTTTCCCTTTGCAGACCAACTAGAAGGGTCCGCCAGACGCGCTCAAACATTTCCGGGTCCACCAAGCGCCTTGGAAGGTAAAGGCCCACTGGTTTTCCGTGAGCACTTCCCTACAGATTAACATGGACGGGTTCCGTTTTAACTACCTCAAGGTAGACTTGAACGCAGTGGTTGATTTCCCCACCCGGGAAACCCATGCAGTTTAGTCTACCTTGGTAGTTAAAAAATAACGGATCCCTGAGTCAAGGAACCAAAAAAACACCCACTTTTGGGCTCCCCTTTAATTTTTTGGGAGTACGCGGGTTTAAGATGGTTTAAGCCTACCTTGGGGTAGTGAAAAACACCGGAACCCTGAGTCAAGGAACCCCCCCAAAAAAAACAACAAGAAAAACACTTTTCGGCTCCCCGTCCAACCGTTTTTCGGAGTGCTCGTTGTTTTTGTTCCCCAGGCGGCTTGTTCCAGCGCCTTCCGGAGCTCAGCGCTGAGTTGCTCCAAGGCGTGGGCTTGCCGCCAGGCCGGGCGGCCTGGGCCAGAGACCTTTTGGGACGAGGCGGAAGACCCAAAGGAGAAGGCTTTGCTGTGATACTGATGGCTGATGGTTGCGAAATCCGCTTCTCGCATCACGAAATGATGTCCATGGGCACCACTTCGGAATGGTTGATTTCCATGGTTTGCTGGTATTTGGCAGTGATGGTTTGTAGGCACCACTTCGGAATGGTTGATTTCCATGGTTTGCTGGTATTTGGCAGTGATAGTTTGTAGGCACCACTTCGGAATGGTTGATTTCCATGGTTGCTGGTATTTGGCAGTGATGGTTTGTAGGCACCACTTCGGAATGGTTGATTTCCATGGTTTGCTGGTATACTCGGAATGGTTGATTTCCATGGTTTGCTGGTATTTGGCAGTGATGGTTTGTAGGCACCACTTCGGAATGGTTGATTTCCACGGTTTGCTGGTATTTGGCAGTGGTTTGTAGGGGTCATTCCCTGATTCCCTGAGCGCCAGCAAGTTGATTGCTATTGGGTGGCGGATCTTTAGACGCTAACTGTTTGATGGAAATGAAGGGTTTTCCATATTGAACCCACAAACAGTTGAAGACGTTTTGCAGAGGCGTCAACAGCAAGAAGAGGATTGGCAATTCTTGAAGCTTCTCTTTTGCTCCGAATTGGCCCATCAATCTCGGACCGGACAGGTGTTGTTCTAGACCAGCTTGTGTCCTATCTAGGCTGGCTGGCCGCTTCTGGAAGGGAATCCGCGTGAAACCCACCAGTTGGTCCCTATACGTCTCAAGCATCCCTGTATTGAGTGTTGCAGAATAAGCACGGCAAAACGGAACACAGAGGTCAAAAGCCTTCCCTCGATTCTGGCTGCGGGGTGCGTGCTGATCATCCGTTCCTTGGAGAGGGGCGCTCGTGGCACCGCGAGGAGTCACTGAGACCCTGCTCAACGCAGCGCAGGAGACGCTGAGATGTGCCGAAAGAAGCTAACACAAGCATGTTTCAGGATGCCTGTGTCACTGCAAAGGCACTTTTGTGAAGTTGTCCACAGGGTGATCAGTCTGTCAGTGGTTGGCACCCTTTCTCACTTTCCAGCAAGGGACTGACTTTGGCAAAATCATGCGGAGGGCTCAGAGGGCCATGTTTGGCTCAATCTCAAAGCCCACCAATGAAGGGCTGCTTGGCATGAAGCCTGCGTGGAACAAGAGCGTGCTGAGACAACAATGACATGGGTGTTTTTTGTTGGTTCCACCGAATGAAAAGGGATGTTCTTGTCTTAAGAAGGGAAACGAAGGAAACCAGCTTTCGCTCCCTGAGTTGGACTTTGAGTGGACCAGCTTGCACTTTTGGCCAATCCACGCAGAAAGCGAGACCCATTTTGCTAGGGGCAACTTCCAACCATTCTTTCCAGGGATCCTTCTTTCTGGTTTAGAAAACCACCCAAAACCCAGGGGAAATGGATCCGGTTATTGAAAAGAACGATGGTTGAAAAGAAGAGAAAAGGACTCATCCCCTTTAATTTGTGGGGCTTCATCTCCCTGCGAACAAAAACCGCCGGAAGGAGGGCGAGCTGAGCGATGAGGCTTGCGCGCCTGTGGTGCCACGGGGCTTTACCTTGCAGCCGCTGGGATGCAACCCCCGGGTAAAGTGCTGGTCTAGGGGAAGCTTTTTGGCTAGCTGGTTGGATCTTGTGGACTTTAACTTTTTGGGAAACAGTGGATTTTCCATGAGACCCACTTAAAGTTACACTTGTTGCAGGGTGGTCAACAGCAACCAAGGAAGCTTACCGATTCTTTCCAGGGATCCTGCTTTTCAGGAAGCCATCAACATCCCAGATAAAACAGAGATCGGATTTTGAAAAGAACGATGGTTGAAAAGAATGGTTGCAATCAACCCCTGCAACTGGGGTCAATTTGCCTTCTAAGAAGCTCGGCCCCTTTGACATGGTAAAAAGGTCAAATGAGGCCAGCAGGGACGATCCCTGCCCGCACCCATCAAGATTCTGCACGTGTGGATGGACGAAATCCATTTCGCACGCACCCCTAAGAAAGCTTGGAATGCTGACCCCCCTGTACATACCAACAGTCTTTTCCGATGGTTTCAAAGCGGCGCGAACGGATTTCGTCCACCCACAGCAGGTCTCGGGTTTGAACTCTGAGCAGCCAGTGGGAAGGCCATTTAGAGGAACGACTGCTTCTTAACAGGCGCCTGCGGCATAGGCAGGCCACACAGTTTATATCTTTCCTGGCCAGCCAACACCCTCAAGTAGGTTTTGTGTCAACATGGGGGCTTCGTTTTGCGGGAAGACAGAGTGGTTGGCCACGCTTCCATGTGTTTGCCTGCCGGGCGTGATTTTTGATTGGGAACCCTCTGGTGAAATCATTTTGATGGGGATTTGTGTCCGTGGGTTGCCTAAATTGATGAGACGGACAGACAAGCCCATGTGTGCCCAACCTTCTGGATAGGCTGAAGACGATAGGGCATCGATACGGGTGTGATATGTGCGCGTCGGAAGTCAACAGAGGAAGAAACTCCTGGCATATTTGCAAGCCATGCCCCAAAATGGGTCCTCCGGAAAATGTTTGACACATGCTTACATCACGCATTTGTGGACTGGGAATGCCCTGAACTTTTGGTAGATCCGAAAGAAGGCCCCCGGCATGGGTTGCTTCCACCTGGCCGGCTGGTTTGAGCTGGGTACTAACTGGAACCCCATGGTTCGCAGGAAGCGGGGTGCTACCTATCAATCAAACAAACAACTATCTGAAGGACACTTCCAGCAGTGGTGTTTATCAAACAACTGAACAGAGCGTGTGTCCTTAGCTTTGGTGTCCTCCAAGTAAACTTGGCGCCAGGGATACGACCGTAGACGCGGAGTTCCCAGGGATGATAATTCGGGTTTTCGGTATCCCAATGGAAAAAAATGAAATTGGATACCTGTCCTAGCCTCAGCCGAGCTTGACACACACACGCAAATTTCCCAGACTCCCAGTGGCACCGGAAAGTGATCCCATTTCAAGCGGGGGTTTGTATCACCTTTCGAATCAAGTACCAAAGGGTCTGTGACTCTGAGAGGCCGTCTCCAGTCCCAAAACCACACCCCACTTGATCAGAAAGGCCTGAATGGACTGATTTGTCCAAACCTTTGTCCTCAGCCCGAAGGGTTTGGGTTCCTCTTTTTGGAGGTGGGGATGCTCCTTGAAAAGGGGTCCACCGGGCCTCGGGAAGGCAGACGTTTGGTTTGCCTCTTTGGGTTCTCTTCATTCGCCATCCAAACTTATCCAAAGGGGTCCCTTGAGAAGCAGAAACATGTCGGCCGGCGCCCTGAACATCCTCGGTGTCCGGAAGGTGCACAACGGACAAACAAGGCGCCCATGTTGGCAACCATTTTAATTCGCCACGGGCCCTAAAGGTGATCCTGTTTTTGTTTTTTTCTGGGTCCCTAAGGGGCAACTGAGATCATGCAAGCAAATACAGTCCGAAGCTCTCCTGCCAGCTTCCGTGAGAGGGTAGACAACCCGTCTAGGCATGTAGGTGTTTGCGTGAGACCGCTCACTCAGGCAGTCCAAGTCCTGTCGCCGCCTCAGGAAGCTGCATACGTATGCATTGCATTTCCTCAAATGCGGAGATGTGGATTCTTGGTGGCTCCCAGCCGTCCGGTTCCTTAGCTTCTTCGCCTTTTAGTGTTTAGTGGCAGTTTCCATTTAACCCACTAAAAGTTAGTCACTTTTAGCGGCGGATCTGAGGGCAGCCCAGGACTGATGCATTTCTTAGAGCAAATTCGGTCACGCCTCGCCCAGCTTCGTTTTACTACCTCGTGGACGACTCCAACCCCGCGAACACAAAGTGGGAATGGCCCGCCCAGGACGAGGTTTCAGAGTTTCAGGGCGGGAGTCTGAGGGAGATAGGATATGGACGAAATCCTGCACTAGTTGGCAATTGGTGGTTGGTTTGTGATGATTCCCTTGCAAGTACCAATGAGCAATGGTTTTTGTCCATCAACAGTGCGTCTCAAAGGATTTATCCTTGTCCGTTGGCCCCCCGTTCAGTTGTCCAACCCTCAAACCAGATGCCTCGACCCCCTTCTGAGGTTTTTGAGTTCAAACTGGGCGAACCAGCTGAGAGGTTCAAGCTTTAACTCCTTGGTTCTTTGGACAAACGCATCCTTTCAAAGCCTTTGCCAAGGAAAATGCGTAGAGGAGGTTGCACCGGGATTCAATGACTCTCAGTGCGTTTTGGAGCCAATCCCTTCTCTCAAGGCGCATAGTTTCATGAGGGAGTCTTTGTCCGTCTCTCGTGGCCTTCCCCAGTTCATGCCGCAACCTGCTGTTCAGTGGCGCCCTTGGAATCCCTTTTGTTTGCTCGGTTCCATCGGCCCGGTAACTAGGCACTTTGATACTCATGTTATCACTCACACTTTCATTTACATGGGGATTGATGTCCCCCAACCTGGGTAGATCTTCGCCTCCGAGAATAAGTGCCTGACCTTTTTTTGTGGTTTGGAATCGCCATGTGTTCCCAAAAGGCCTAAGAGGCCAAGGCCACACCAAAGAATTTAGGAAGGAATAAAGAGGTGTTTGCATCTCAGCTTGAAAGGGCTTGTATGATTTACGCATCTTGCAATTGCGCCTGGGTTCCATTTGCAGCTCCCCGGGGGTTTTCCAAATTCATTTCAGCCTCATGGCTTAGCTTCGGACAACCGAAGAATTAGCCGGCCGAAGCCCAGGATGTGCCAGAGCAGGTTCAGTTCCCAGCACAGCCGCGGCTGGAAAAGCCACCGGGCCGCGGTTTGTGTTCTTCTTTTTTTAATTATCATATCTGTTTGTTTTTTCTCCGAGAGTGTTTTACATACATACATATATATATATATATGTATATGTTTTTTGAGGGCAAAGCTACACGTCCAAGTCACATGTCTCGTTTGGTTCCGCACCTCTTGGGCTGCGAGGATTCACTTTTTCCCTTCCCTGAGTTGGCTCAGTCACCCTTTTTCTTTTCCCTATTTTTAGGTGGCTGCCCCACTAACATGGTCTTTCCAAAAAAGGGCTCCCTTTTTTCCCCAGGGTCACTGAACAACTGAGTATGGAACCATTCCCCCGGGTGCTCATGAGCAGCTTGTTGCCTTGAGGATGGGCAGCTCAGCTTTTGAGGGGTCTACGTGTCGCTGGAATTCATACTGCCTCGAGTTCAGTATTTTATACTACTTTCTTGACTGCTATTGGGCAACGGATCTTTAGACTTTTTTGCTTTTTGGTTGAAATCAAGTTGCGTTTTCCACCAAACCCCCAAGAAGTTGTTCACTTTTTGCAGGGGGGTCAACAGCAACCAAGACACTACTTGGAAAGACCATTTTAGTCGCAAGCGAATCGTATGGACTTGTTTGTACGGACTCTTTGGCCAATCCACTCAGGAAGTGAGTCACATTTTGACCCTTTGGCAACTGTTTCACTTTGACAGCAACCCAAGTTGAGCCTCGTTGCCCCTCTCCAAGGTTCCGTCAAAACCCGGACCCCTTGCAAGTTGTTTCTTCAGTCCCTCGAAACTCTGGGTCAGCTTTGACAGCCATGCGTAGCAACATGGAACCAGAATTTCGACCGACTAGTAAACTTGAGGTTGATTTCTAGTTACTTTTCGAGGGCACCAAAAACATATTCATGATTCAACATGATTTAGGTTTCAAGACCGGGCGGCCGGAAAAGGCAAGCATGGGGCTTATGAGGCATATTGAGCCATGGCTTATGCTTTGCAAATATCCAAGGATGCTGACGCCCGCACTTCCCGCACCGCAGACATCCTTTGGGACCGCATCCACCTTTTGACCTGTTAGGCTCCCCGTTTTGCTCCGCTTTCGGTCATGGTCCGAGAGGATAACCTTTTGATTCCAGGTCCTGTGCCAGGTGTTTTAAGAACAGTCCCAAGGAACACTCCCAGACACAGGTAAAGACAGTCCCAGCAACATGTGCAGATATCCGCCCATTTGAGTATGTACCGTGCTTTTGGCAGCTCCTCACAAGGTGTTGACTGTGACACACATGTCAGGCGAGGACTGCACGCGAAACACCTGCCTAATAAGCTTCCACCAGCTTGATACACCCGGGCTTATCCTTCACCTTCCCAACATCGCAGCTCTCGCTCATTTGAAGCACGTGGCTTGGCGGACTGGAAAGGGTGATGCTGACTGGGCCCAAAAGTTCCAAATCCCTCTGAAATGGGACCTCCCAACCTGAAAGCCAACAATCCTGGGCTTGTATTTTTCAACACCTCCCCACCAAAGGGCATCGAAAGCAAAGCCATCGCTGAGGCACGATGACCCGCATGCCAAGCGTCTTGGCTCGGAAGGAACAAGGAGCAAATTGACAGCGGATGGCAAGGTCAATAAGCTCGCATGTTGATAGCAGTTGTTTTTTTGAAATGAGTTTGCAATTGTCAAGTTCACTGAATATGAACCAGAAGCCGTCATATGTTGTTTTTGGCTGGTACAAAAGCTAGGGCAGAAAACGTGAATGTTGCATGCAAAGGGGCAATCTATGATAAACGTGGATTGTCTTAGAATAGGAGACCCCCAGAAATAGTAAGTGTTTGTTTGGTGTCCTTCAAAACAAGCCCGAACAAGTACTCTCAAACAATACACACGTCCACATCAAAACATACATAAACATATACAAATAACCATATATATACACATGATTATGTGTTGCATTGCTTTCCTGCCACCTTGAGCAAATGGAAGATAATATGTATTTGTTTGTTGCAATGGTTGTTCCGGGGCAAAGAGTGAATCTCCCACGAACAGCCCTAGCAAAGAACTCTGATAACCCTTATTCGGCGCTTTGAGCCTCGTTGGGGTTAGGGGCTTTGAGGTGTATAAGATGTTTTGCCTCATGTTGGCAGAGGAAGAGCATCCTCGCAAAATTGCCGGGGCGTAATTGACCACAGACGCAGTGCCTTGAATTTGAAAGGACTCATTGACCCATTGAACAGTCAACCAACAGGGGCCCTATTTTTCTTCCTGTGGCTGTATGCTGGGTTTCGCGTTGAACTTTTGGACCATGGTGAAGAAGCGTATTCAACGATTCGCCCAGACCACGGGAGCAACCTGAATATGGGTGGCTTTCCGTCCGTTGCCCTTCCGCCCAATCCGCAAAGAGCTAACACTCAAAGGGTTACAGCAAGATGTGTTGAGATGTTAGGGCCTGTTAGGGGTAGTTCAGCACGTCTTGGCAAGAGTCGGCAACCCACTATGAAGTCATTTGCAGTTCTTGAGATTTGCAGTCTTCTTTCCTGTTGCATTAGACTTAATCTTCGTTGCCCCTTCATTAAACGTCCTTTTGGATTGTTCGGGAATGTAGCATGTCACGATGGCATGCACGCAAGATCAGGTACATTTCTCCAGCCAGGCAGGGCATCCACCGCGGCCGGCTTTCTAAGCCCACTTTTGCGAGATACCTTCAGAACTTCTGAGAGTGCTTTTGAAACCAAGGGACGGTTAAACCACGGCGGATCTTTTTGCAGCACACGGCTATCCACAGCCTTTCCCGCTTTGGCCTGAAGATGTGGGGCTCTTCCAGGCATGGGCATAACTCGCCGGCCAGCATTGGCAGGAAGTTTTCCCGGAACTTGCTCCCTTGGGGATTTGCCATGGAGGCCAGGGAAGCCGTTCTAAGCAATGGGGGTGAGTTGTTTTAGCTCTGTGGATGGTTGCGAAATCCATTTCGCACCAATTAGAAACCATGGGGACATCATTGTTTGCTGGCATTTTGCAGGGGAAGCAAATCATTCCAGGCTTGCTTAGGTGGTGCGAAATGGATTTCGCAACCATCCACAGTATCTCATGGAATTTTCTGAGTATCCCTCCGTATCCATCCACGGATCTCCGGTCCAGGCTGAGGGAGCAGGCAGGAAAGTGGGCAAGTAGCCAAGAGTAGCCGTTGAATGAGGTAAACCGTATGGCTGAATGTTTGAACCATACAGTTGTCTAGAAACCGGTTTGGATGCGCCTTTTGTGGAGTTCACCGGTTCTTCCCCCTGTTGGTCCTTCTTTAATACTCTTTTAGTACTCTTTTAAGCTTCTACAGGGGTGGAACCACAGAAACCACATCCAAACCGTTTTCTAGAAGTTGAACGTGAAAATGAGAGAAGATGGAACAAGGCCCCTTGCCAATGTGGGTGTAGCCATCCCGGTTACTTACAACCATGACGAGAATTGTGCCATCTACCTCTACCCCAGCGCATATGAACGCATCTTCTCAGGTCACCTACATGCAACGAAATCACCCAACTGTTTGGCCCCGGGTCAACCATACAGTTGTTGAATTTCCTCCTGATGGCACAACATCACACATATAATTTAACCGTGATGCAATCAAGCATGCGCGTCAGCATTTAGGCTAGCATACTGATAGTTGGAGGAAAGCTGGCACAATCTTCGGGTGGACTCCAAGCGTGCGTGTGTTTTAAACAGGCCTCCTACAGCATCAGCCTGTGGGAAGCCGTAATTTATTTGCTAAGCATGGAATTACAACCAGGGATCTTCCAAGGCTTCCCCCTGTTTTTTTTTTTTTTAAATCTAGAAGATCTTGAGAGAGGGAGTGTTTGATTTACCGAAATGAGGACCGCCCCAAAATGGCTGCGGAGGTCTGAAGATGGTCGGTGGTGCTACCTGTGCTCCTGCCACGCGAATTTCGAGCATCTGGAGTCCGGGCCGCACGATCGCGCGCGCAGGCTGCTTGGCCTGCGGTGAGAAGAATGGCCACATTTGTGGGATATATAAAGGGTCAGGGCTAACGGTTAGGGCCACTTTCTGTGATGTGCAAGGTGACAAAGTAGTCATGGGAGTTAGGAGTTACCCTTACTGTATCGGTTTTACAGAAAGGGTGAGCTTCCAAAACCATGGGCGCTTATCGGCGCTTGCAGATTCTTGATGTTGTCCTCATTTTGGGACTTCAACCTGTGCCACTCAGGACTTGTGTCGGTTTACGTATATAATTGTCTTCTCTAGGTTTGGCGGATTGAAAGCTGACTTTGTCTCCCTCGCCGTTCTTCTTCAGGCGTCGAACCGGAGAGTTGTTCTGGGATTTGGGCAGATATGAGGTCCATGTGGCACAAATTCCGGCGCACGGGGCAATTTCTGTTTATGTTTTTGAGTTGGTACCACCTGGGTGGCTTCAAAGATAAATGCAGATCGCCTGTTTTTGGAGCCCCCGAAAATGTGACAAATCCCCTTCTGAGTCAAGAAGTGCAACCCCCGGGGCCTTGTGAAAAACAAAACTCTATACTCATTCGGATAGATTGTATGCTGATGCCCTTGAGCCTCCGCCAAGTCAGCTTCTAGTTTGAGGCTCCGTTGCTTCTTCGCTTTGTTGCCACCATATGCTGGCGCTGGCAGTGGGGGTGCCCAAACATTTCAAATTTCAAAGCTGGATTCCGCTGGATTGTAAGCCTTGCGCGGACTTCCCTGAATCGCGACAGGAGCTGGAACCAAGCAGCCAACCTGATGCGGCGGCTGAGTGGCTGAGCTGAGAGAGATCTGTCCCTTTTGACCGTCCCAGGTTTGGTTACATGCATTTGGGCAATTTTGAACTTGCTCACCTGAAGAAAACCGAACCTAGACATGACGAAGGTTCCATTTGGCCAGTTGGTGAATGATCATAGTGTTTGATCATTGCAGCTGGAACGATGCGTGGGCTGTTTGGACAAGCAAGTGGGGTTGCCATCAAGGACTGTCATTTTGTGCGCAATTGTGTTGGCTGCTAGGAGCGGACGCTATGATCCTAGCAGTAGTGTTGACAAAGCCTGAACTCCCGCAAAGCCTTCGTCTCTCATACTAGCTTTAATCTCAGTCCCGGTTAAGGGCCACTTACAAACCACAGCGGAGCGCTGTAGCACTGGATCCGCTCTTTTCTCAGGTTCCATGTGTATTCCGAAGGCAGGTAAGGGGAAATGATGGTCAGGCAGTGTTTGTCGAGAGACATACTTTTTACTTGCGTGGAACCCAAAACGCACTGTTGTTTTGTGGGTTAAGACCAACTGGGTCCCCCAGTAGTGCCCTTCTACCTTTTTTTGTGGAGGTTTCCCCTACTAAAACAGGCTACAGAAAACAGGGGTACCCTTATTCTAAGCTCTCTACTGGAGGACCTAGCCAAAATGATTACCAGCTTCTGAGCTTGGCTGAACATGCAAGTAGCCGGCATTGAATTGCGTGGTATGTCAAGTCTTGCCTTCAGATCCTCCGAGAACTTCGAAGAGTCGCAAAGGGAGCTCATTGCCTTGACGACCCTCTAGCGACTAAGCTTCCGGCTCCCCCAGCACTGCAAGGCAATCATTTTGGAACAGAAAGGCAAGCAGACACATGGCGCCACTAAGCCAGAGAATGTTTGTGGACCCGGGGGAGTAGTATGAATTAAAGGAAAAACACAATTCGATTGAAACAGTTAAAAATATGATACTAATAATAAATCACAACGATTTGCTTCCAGCAACGCTTTGAGAGGTTGAACAATCGTGTGGCTGCTTGAGCTGCCTCCTGACATTTTCAGGCGATGAGATGTCTGAGATGGGTACGACTGATCCACGAATCGACAAGGACTGATGAGATGTTCTCCGCCTGCCCGTTCCCGCAATCTTCAGCACAAACGGAGCAGCATTAATTGCAACCACCGCACTGGTCAAGTTGTTGGACGATTCTACATTGATGCCGTGGTGTGTTGTTCTAAGAAACCAGCTGAAAGAAAGTCTGCAGGCAAACGAGACAAATGCAGTCAACATGCAAGAGGTTCTGGGGATTGACGGCTTGCATATTTGTGCCGGCGGCGTGGCGTGCTTATCTCGGGGATTGCATCAGTCATGTCATGTCCGTAGGTCCTGACATCATTAGTTCAAATCTTAGGGCCACATGCTTTGTTTCGAAGCACTTCGCATGTCGGAAAGTCTTTTGCTCTCAGGTTATTATATACAGAGCGGCGCCCTAGTTCTTTCTTTTGCAGACAGGTGTTGTTTTTCATCACGTCTCCCCAAAAAAGAATCTCTTTCTCGACCGATTTGTCGCCGGGCAAGGACTCCATTTTGTTTTGGGTACGGGTCCACGGGCTCAGCTCACGAGGCTTGCGTTGGATTTTTGTTCGAGTTGGGGAAACACACGAGGATCCAAGCATCGAAGCCGAATTCTTTGCCCTTTGATTGACGTGCTACTGCTCTCCCCCCCCCCATATTGCACAAGAAGCCCATCATCTCTGCCACTGGGGTCTCCTCAGGACATGTTGTTCCAGCATTGCGCACATTGAACACCTGCCCATGTGCCAACGGATGCTTTCGGGTTTGAGCCGTTGTCCGGCAAGCAGGACTGGATAGAATGCGGAAGGTGCAGCTAGAGAGGAAATCAGCCAATGTTGACGCCGCTGAATTATTCCTGCGGGTTACGAGGCGCAGTGTCCACAAAAGTTGCTCAGGACTCCCAGTAGAATCGAGCAAGGGTTCTTCTTAATTTGGGTGAGGACTTCCCAAGTCAGCTACGTTTACGACGGATCCAATGCACACTTGGATTGGTGCACCCCTGAGTTCTCAGACTTTATATTTGTTGGGAAGTCCATTTTGGTGGCAAGTACCATCCTATCCACTAAGATGGAACCTGACTAGGGATTCCTCTGGAAGACCATTTTACTCTAAACGGAGCCCTCGGTTCCATGTTAGCCGACCGGGTAAAAGGTCTGAAGCTTTGGTTTACCAATCCACACTGAAACTGAGTGGGGCTTCCAATTCCCGCAGGAGGATATTGCCCGAGTCTGGCAGCTGGAAGCCTTCCAAGTGCTGCAGCCAATAGTGACTCGGGCCGAGGTGGGAATGAGGGGTTGGCTCCCACTTGGCCATGGTCAAAATCAAAATCGTACCCCCAGCGAACATCCGATTCAATCCAACCCCGAAAATGTTGGTTCCAAAATAGGTGGTGACATCACAAAAGAAGGAAAAACACCAATTTTATGGGATCCCAAAACGGTTTTGACCACCACAGCCACTTCTGTGATACGAAGCTCCTCTTTGAATGGACACTTTTTGTCCTTTGCCAGGCCTTCCTTCGCGTCACTGGGCACCTCCCCCCCTTCCCCCGGGTCCGGGTGGAAGCGGTAAGGGGATCTCAGGTTCTTGGGGCGAAGGTGTCAAACGAAATGTGAAACCGAAGCAGGAGATATAGAAATATGTCATCATAACTTTGTTGTTTAGCAAGACATAAATACATATACATATATATATATGTATATATAGAGGAAAGCTGTTCAGAATAGATACTCAGCCCCCAGGAATCTGAAAAAACTCAGCCCCCATGACGACCCCTTCTGTATATATATATATACAGTGTACCCCAGGAGTGCGCCAAGATAAGCCCTTCTCATTGAGCCGTGCGAGTCAGGCAATCACCGGGTACCGGGGGCGGAGAATCGACTCCTACGGTACACCCTTGTCAATGAGCGACGAGTATTCTTTCTAGCAGCGTCTCAGTCGCCACTAGTTCAAACATAGTGGATGGTTGCGAGATCCGTTCGCACCACCTTGAATCCTCTGGAAACCAAAGGTAATTACAGAAAAGAAAAAAAACACGATTACATGCATTGTGCGGTGGTGCGAAATGGATTTCGTCCATCCACAGTATGTTAAAGCCTTCGGATTGCCGCACCCTGGCAGGCGCCAATTTGTTGTTCGGCTTCTCAGAAGTGCATTTTGCCAAGGAGTGCATTTTGCCAAGGGATGTTAGGACTTTAACTTTTTGCCAACTCATGGATGTTTTCCGTATTAAACCACTAAAAGTTCGTAACTTGAGCAGGGGAGCAGAAAACGCAACCGGTTTCTTCTGTATTATTTGAATGCTCGTTGTCAAGCTCACCAGGGAAGCTGCGGCACTTCAGCACACAAAGCGCCAGTACAGCCAGGTGTCCTTTTGAGAGCCTGGTTAAACATAGATGGCACTGGTTTTCAGATAGATGGATTTTGTTTTGGTTCCATTTTTGCCAGGGAAACCCATCTATTTTTTTCCCAAAAGACCACCTGTGAGTTGGACAGCCAGGGTCATGGTTGAGGACCCTGCAATCTAGCTTTGTGTCCGAGGAATTGAACCCTGGCCGACAGCTCTGGGATCAAACCAATTGCCATTCAAAAAATACGTGGCTCAGGTCCATGCTTGACCGGTTGAATGCACCCAGAAGAACCTTCCTCCATGAAGGTGAATGTTCACTTGCCCAGCGGAGATCGAAAGCTGCTAGTTCGAGGGCTGAAACGCTGCGCCGCTGAACTCTCCGAGGATGATTGGGTCCTGCCCTACTTCTGGCATTTGATCCTCGAGCCGTGGCCCACGAGGCAGGATTGGTTTCGATTCGGGGGGTGAAAGGGCCGAAGCTCCGTGCAGATCCATTTCTTGGGAATCCCTCATGGTAAAATGTGAGGATTGGCGGGCGCAAGATGAAAGGTTTGATCAGCAGACCTCTTGGTTAAGCCCTGCAGGTACACCCCAAATACGGAGCAGACAAGAAGAAACAAACGGGTAAATGAGGGGTCAATTAAGCCCAAATATCAGAACTGAAGTTCCACGTATTTTCTTTCGAGTCTGGTCTTCGGGGTTTGTGGCGGAATATTTGAAAAGGCTAGATGGGGGTCGTTTTTGGGGCCCCCCCCTTTGGCAAGGTCAAAAGGGAACCAACCTTTGAGCTGAACTCTTTTTGGGGAACCCCCTCAAACAAAGGAATAACAAGGACTCCTTGGGGGGTCATAACTGCAGCATGGGACGAGCTCATGGCTTGATCAGGCCTTAGGGGATGAATGCGGCCAGTGGCATCATTCCCTTAAAAATACGCTTTCATGGAGAAGGGTGCTTTGGAATGACGGGGGCTCCCAAGGATTCAGCTATCACGAAATCTTCCCCGAACACAGGGACATCCATGTATTTTCAAGCTGGGGCGTTCTACCCCAGGGTGCCGCATTCAGAGGGCCGCCAAAGGAGTGGCAAGGTGCATTGCAAAGCAACCACACCTACAGCTGCTATTTGCTAAAGCGTTTTTTGTACTTTGTCCTGTGGGTTTGTGAGGGAAGTGAGAATGGCTGGGTTTTTGTTTGGCGCTTCTTGTTCTTGTTTTTTTTTTTGGGGGGGGGGGAATGACTGAAACATGTATGTCGCTGAATGGCAGCTTCAAACAGAGTATGGATTTGTGCATATTTTCTCCCCAGGAGACTCCTGACATCCCGTGCTTGAAGGTAGCCGGTCGCATGGCCCCTGGTTTCGCCGTGGCAACCGGGCTCTCACGAAGGGGCATCCCCAACATGATCGACCGGCAAAATGGTTTAGTGGGAAATCACTCCCAAAAAAAGAAAGATTGAAAACCCCTCAGCATACAACCCACTTTCACGGGTTCTATGCAAGATCACCCGACTCGTTGTTCGGTGGCACCCTTGAAATGCTTTTTTGGCGGTTCCAATCCCGTTCTACCGGGGTCACGGTCTCTGCCCCCAAGCCAATTCAGGGTAACCGGCTACGGTTACACCCACCCAAGGCCCGAACCATCCACAAGGGCCTAGATAATTCGCATGAGGTTCTGTACTCCAAAGCCAAAGTCAAACTGAGAAGCTCGTCTTATGTGAAACTGGGAGAATCTTTCGCCCCTGGGCACAACTCTGCACCTCAAGCTCGAAACAAGAGAAACAACAAGAAGTGTATTTATTTATATATATATATATATTATGTCTATAAATAATAGAGGGAAGAAACACCCATCCCAACAGCTGCCAAGTGGAGCACCTACGCCCCTGAAGCCACCGGGGCCTTCCACCCGCGCCGCCGCGCGCGGTGTCCTCTTCCGTTTCGCCAGCGCGGAGCTGCGGTCGCGCCTGGCGGCCGCGGAGCTCGGGGAGCCGGATCTGCTGCGCTACCCGGAGGTGCCCAGGCGCTTGGGGCGTGCGGTGGGGGGGGGGAGGTTGGGGGGAGGGGTTGGGGTGGGGGGGGTTTGGGGTGGGGTGGTTTGGGGTTGAGGTTTGGGGGGTTGGGGTGGGGGGGGTGGCTCTTCGGATTCTCGCTCGGATTCGCGAATTCGGGGGAGGGGGGGGGGTTCAGCGGCGGATGCGACTGCTTTGGTTATCAAAGAGTGGGCTGGATGCCACCCTACTCCAATGTTTGCAATGTTTGTTAGGGTATAGAAGTAGAGATTGACACGCCTGGTTTTCCTCTTGGGAAGTGCGGCCAAAATGCCCCTTGTCGATGGTCCATATTGGATGCACAAGCAGATCAGGGAGTCACTCATGTTCCCATGTAGCTTACTAGTTACCACCACTTCAGTTCTCCGGGCTGCGTTTCCGGACTTTTGTCTTGAACCATTTAGTTGGCAAACAAGAAGTTGACACTTTTCGTTGGCCACTCCACTCCAGACGGGTGTCGCGGGCCTAGGGAACGGACCATTCAGACGCACTGCGCGCAAGAGCTCCTTGACAAATTGATGCATTTCCCTACTTGAACTTGTCCATTTAGACCGATATTCTTGAAACATGCGCATTTCGTGTTGTCTCTCCATGACCCTGTAAAAAATGGTTGGTCATGACTTCTCCTTGCTTTTGGGGAATGACACCAACCATTTGCTCAAGGGTCAGAAGGAGACTCCAGGTAGGTTCCCTCATGGCAACTGAGCAGGTCCAAGTTTGACTCTCACCTAATCTAATTAGCCCTCAGGCGTGCTGTCTCGCAAACGCTTGAAAGGCCGAAGCCGCCGTTCAGAGCGCCCCTTTCGGCGCCTTTCTGCCCCACCAAGCAAAGCGCGGAGTGCATTTTGCTTTGCTATAAAAAGCGACAAACAAATGAACCTCAACTCTAGCTGCTGGAAATCGACTAACTAAATCTCGCTAATGGAAAGCAGGGACGCTGAAAGGAAACAGAGAAGCTATGTTGGAGCGCTCTCCCTCCCTTTGTCAGGACACACAGGGACCCGGAGGATCCACCGGAAAGTGGCTGATGTGTGTCTCAGTAACCAGGGCTCAATGTTGAAAACTGTTTGGACGAACCAAAAATGGCCGTCCCTCCAACAAGAACGAACAAAACAAAAACCAACCAAGCACAATGGTGAACCACCGCCCTCAAAAGGGAAGGAGGAGGGACCCCCTTCAAAGGCAACGGATTGACAATCCCCGGGTTTCCATCTACAGATCTGTTGGTTCTCGCGAGGCCCGGTCAAGACTTCCCGTGCTTTCCGCGGCCCTGCGCCCTGACCGAATCGAAGCGAACTCGTTCGGGATTGGAATGGAGTGGATTTGACCTTTTAGCTTCTCCTTGGTCCATTTTTAGTGGCCCCAAAAGGCGATCGCCGTTTCCCACGGCAAGTGAGGGCTTGTGAGCCTCCAATGAGATTTGGAATGACAAGCCTCCATATTCCTAAGCATGAAACGTTCCGGTAAGACTTCGAGTAAACAGCCTCCATGTTCCCAAGCATGAAATGCTTTGAGACTTAGATCAAGAAACCCTCCATGTTCCCACGCAATGGGATTCAGCTTCGCCTTGTGACGTTTTCCAAAACAAGCTCCCTCCGAGTTCCTGGACTTGGAAAAGGTTTGGAACATGGGGGTGGATATCAATCTTCCTGGTTTTTTTGGGTGGCCCCGGGTCACTTTTCCCACTCAAAGGGAGGGTTTGGTTTTTGGTTTTCGTGGTTTTGCCCCTTTTTGTCATCCCATGTGAAGGACCTTTTGATCAGCCACATGGCAAACTCAAAGTTTGGACCACTCAGCAAGCGACACGAACATGCAATCTGACAGTTGGCCTCAGGCAATAATTGCCCTACCCAACAAATCCTCAATCAGATTCCATGCCGGTGGGCGGGTCATTTTCTACTTGTTGCGCGGGCATGAGGAAACGCAACCAATGAGACAGATAATGTGCTGCTCGGACCCCAGCTTGCTCCGAACAGCAAGGCAACGACCAAACCACAAGGGCAGATACTTGCATTAAGGGGGAGAGCGTGCTTGGATTTGCAACTTGGAGTTTCGGCTTGCTTTCCCTTGGATCTCTTTATTATGTTTCCAACCAACATGTTCTGGCAATTGAGTTTCCCACCCTTCTGGCCTGTTGAAGTATATCCTTGTTGAGGGGTGATGTTTCAAAAAAAGTAAAGTATGAACACCTAAATAAACATGTGGTGTGTGTTAAAACAGGATAGGCCCTCTCAAACTGGTGGTGTTCCCTTTGGTTTCCCTGAGAATTCGGCTACCCTCGGTCCAGGTGTGGACGCAGAGAGCGTGTCGGAGGATGTGAATGCTCTGAAGCCAATGGAGCTTTTGAGTCAAGGCGCGTTGGTTTCGGTCCACGGGCCACGAAGCTTATCTGAGTCTTTTATGACTGAAGCACTGTGGGGTCGGTCAACGGCTTTTTTTTGTAGAAAGCACATGTAACAAAGTCCGAGTTTTTTTTTGTGGCACTTGCCTAAATTTGGCGTATGTACACCGAGTTTTTCGGGGTCCAAATGCACAATGTTGCAGAAACGGATGACAGTATATGCCCAGCGAAAACAGAGAACTCCACACAAGCATACAGAACCAATATACTATCCCAACAAGCATATCAAGCAGAGGGACTGTTTGAAAGAATGTCTGGGGTCTCTGGTTGTTAAATGATTCATAATCGCTAAATCCCCCTAACAATAAATTGTCCCACAAGGGAAGGACAAGTGCATCGTTTTCTTTCTTTGCCAGGCTCTTATTCTTTCCATACCGGGTTCCAGCAATTGGCCCTTTGGACTGTCCGGCCCGCGAAGAAATCAAAGCCCAATTTGACTAAGACTCGAATGCCCAAAGGGCTAGAAAAGCGGTAAACACACTTTGACGCCAGCTTCAGCAAAGTACTGCACCTTCGGAAGACATGTCTACACTTTTCGGCGGGCCTTCGTTGTTCAAGAGAGTGTGTTGAAAGGCTTTCTGGTTGCGGAAAATTGATATCCCGCCGAATTGAGAGGAGCACCTTGCGTATCAAGTGTTGTTTGAGCTGAAAAGTGAACCCTGGCTTTACACAGCTCACTCCTTGCAATGCGAGGCTTGCTGCTGCAGCAAAACGGGAGCTACAGATGCTGGTATTGCTGCTTCAGCTGGCAGTAGTGGCATGAGGGAGGTTGGATACTTCTTGATGCTTTTTGGATACCCACCTGAAGGAATGGATGACTTCCATCCCCTCATATATAAGTTCGCAGGAGTTCAGTTGATACCATGCGTAATTGTCCGAACCCATGGCAGTCACCGTACGCAAGCACGCGCTTCGGTGTGTCGTTTGCCATTGCCCGAGGTGACGATACAACGGACATCCTTGCCAACGAGGTGAGATACCACCTCACCCACGGCAAGGCCGCGTGCGATGCGGGTTGTTTCAGCAGAACTGAGTGGGAGGAAGGGTTGGCAGGCGGCAGAACGAGGTTTGGAACCTGGGAAGATGACTTTCCTGCTAAAGCAGGGTGTCAAGTTCATCGCCGTGCTTGCTTACTTGCCAGGTTCCAGGACCCAGTTGCTTTTTCCTGCAGCATTTTGGGCACAGTCAAGGCTGCCGGGCTAGCCCCATAGACCTTGGATGTCCAACAAGTGCCTGGTTCGGGGTTGATGTTGCCGGCAAAGCACTTGCCGGAATGCATGGGCATGTTTGGAATCTGCTTTGGAATATTTATTCATTTGTTAGGTTGAATAAACATGGACCAGAATCAAAGTTTGGTTGGGGGAAAAAGCTGAGGTATACATGTTAAGTAGAAGTGTACAAGCAGCAGGTGCTTCGTTCCGCATTTTGGCCCCCCAATTCCGAACATGTCCTGGGGGACACTGGCCACGGGGCCCTTCAACTTTTGAGGGGTGCATCCTGGCCCGCCTGGAACAGTTTAACCAGGCAGCGAGACAAGAAAGGGAGCCAAAGAAAGCTTCGGCCGGGGCGTTTGCTGGTTGGGCACGATGGTGTGTGCGGGTGTGGGTGGTGGGGTTGGGGGGTAGGTCTACCGTCTACCCGTGGGGGTCCTGGAAGGCGATATTCCTTTCAAAGGGACCATTTCTCTTGCGGGTGCCATGTTCAAACACACAATTTCTCCGGCAGGTTCGATGGTTAATGGACAGGGGGTACCCACCAAAAAAATGGACTTATAAGAAACAGGCTCCCCTTGGGCGACCTTGAGCTTTGCTCATGTGCCAACATCGGAGGGCCCTCAAGAAAGGTTTTCCTTTTGGTGGCGCTGTAAACCAACCCCAGAAGGGACACGGCAAAAAACACACAAACTCCTCTCGAGCTGCGACCTCCTCTGCCAGGTGGCTCGTTCGCACCACAAGCATCGTGTGGCCTGGGACAGCTACGTGGAGTTTTTGGAGGAAGGCTGGAAAGCTGAGGCGGGGTCTCAACAATTGAGAACCCACTCTCTGAGCTCCACTTTAAACTTTTTGGGTTTTTGGCCTTGTGGGAACTCGACAGTTTTTAGCTTTAACCCACTCTCTGAGTTCCACTTTCAGCCTGTTGGGTTTGTTTGTTTGTTTTTTTCCTTGTGGGAACCCGACAGTTTTTGGCTGCAAGCCCATTCACTGAAGTGAGTTGGCGTTCCCCCTCAAGTTTGGATGGTTTTCCGTGGGGTCACTCAAGAATCCATACCCCGAAGCGAAGAATTGACCATTGGGAAACCTTAGTGGCTTAGTGGTCTCACACACGTGGCCATTTCCCCCCACACAGTCGCAGGCTGATCCTTTGAATGGGACTTGTGCCAGGTTCCATACTGTGGATGGACGAAATCCAGTTCGCACCACCTGACAAACCCTGAAAGGATGATTCTCCTGTAAATTACCGACCAACAACGGCTTGCCATGGTTGTAAAGTGGTGCAGGATTTCTTCCATCCACACTATGAAGCAGAGGTGTGGGAGCGTTTCTGGAGACGGTTGGACCGCTCCGAGCATGTTAGCCAAGGGGGTTCTACCATTCCTTTCAGGTTCTTTCGGTTTTGGCTGTCATTTCCCGAACACGGTATTCCCGTGCTTTCCAGGAGGGGTAGAGCGAGGAGTCACAGCTTGTCATGGCCCACAAGTAGACAAGTAGAGGACAGTATGCCGTTTCGTTTGACTGTTGAAGGAGAAACATGGGAGGGAGCATCTAGGCCAGGATATTCGAGCATGGGAACGTGTAGGAGGGACCATCTATCCCCTTTCAGCTGCTTTCAACCCTCCAAATAAACCTGCCGGTTTCTTCTAGCTGGGACCTTTAGGCAGCTTTCACGTTTGCGGGCGAAGTACTTCCTGTTCGGTTTCCGTGTTAGAGAGTGGGGGAGGGGTGCCAGTCTTGGGTAGACATTGCTTATTCATGTATAAGGGGGCTTTTGGCTGAGCAACACCCTTTTGCATGTAGCGCCACGCGCATGAGCAGAAAACACAAATGGCAAGTTGAGATGGGGATGCACATGAATCAAGGGCCCTTGTTGTTTTCAATTCCTTTGGTTTCGCTTGGCCCTTAAATTTTGCAGGATTTCGTCCATTCCATCGGTCGGCTGATAGGCTTTGGGTCCTGAATGGTCCTGAAACTGGGGGATTTTTTTCGAAATGGTGGCGTGTTAGGTCTCCCTCAACTGGGTACCCCTCCATGCCGGGGTTCCTGCGAACCAACCGCACAGTGGCAATTCCGGAGCCACAACCAGTTAACATTTGGGCATGTCGTTTCTCGGCCCCCCCCCCCTCAAAAACAAGGCATATACACACACATATATATATATATATATATTATGTATCTAGAAAAATGTGGTTTTTGAGTGGTTTCCCTGTAAAACAGACCCAACAAGGGGCAGATTCTTTCAGAAGTGCCAGCCTCCTCCCCGGGTTCTTCGTAGCACGGTGCCAGGTGCAGGGCTGCCACCTGCAAGGCAAGACCTACACCTGCGAGTGCGGCAAGACCGGGGTCCAACGCTCAGAAGCGAACTATATGCTCAGGCCCCCCCCAAAAAAAAACTGCACTACCCAAAAGGTAGCAACACGAGCCCAAGCAATCCGGAAGGAAGCTGTGGGAGAAGAAGGTCTCCAGTGGTATACTTGGTCAGGCCCCCCCCCCATGAACTACCTTTTGGGTATTGCAGTAGTTATGGGGGCCTGACCAACTATACCACTGGAGACCTTCTTCTCCCACAGCTTCCTTCCGGATTGGTTGGGCTCGTGTTGCACCCCTGTTGATGCTCGCTCATCTTGGCTCGCTCGCTTGTTGGTAGTGTTTGTCGTTTTTGGGTTCTGCGATTATTTTTGTTCATGTTTTCCTCTTTTTTTTTGGGGGGGGGGGTTCAGCCAGGCCCAAGCGTTGCTAACCAAAGAAGCACCCTGAACAAAAAGCAAGCCGGTGGCTGCTTAGCTGCTACAGTGGCTCAACAGGGATCTGGGTAGGGCCTTTCCTCGTTTCATGGTGAACCGAGCAGTTGCAAAGGAGTCGGCGCGAACATGAGAGACACCGGCGTGTGTTGAAACAGGCTTCAGCTCAGCAAGCTTCAGCGACCCAAAGTTTTAAGCAGGAACCTTGAGGTGACAATCAAGTCCCCAGCGTTGGCCCTTGTGATATTTGTTGGCCAGGTTTGCGGTAAGCTTCATTTCCACCCACTGGAGTTGCTCGATGTCCGCTTGGCCAGCTTCTGGACACGGCTCCCCACAACGGCGGCTACACATGGGCCTAGTGGTGCTTGGAACAGGGTATCCCTCAAAAGCATAGTGTTTGCGAGTCCGAGGACGCATGGGAGTGCGAAGGCAGGGGGCACAGGGGACGCTGGTGGAAAGATGCAGCAAGCAACGAAGAGTGCTGATGATACGTACTAGTAGGGTACTCCCATAGTGGGCAGGTTGAATCAAAGGAAGAAGTGGCTGCTTGGTCAGACCGGGCTAGTGTCGTGTTTGTTTCATGTGTTTCTCAATTAATTAGTTTCCTTGAATTCTTTCGCGGATGGGAGGTCGCCATTGAACTGTGAACAGAGTCGTGAAGGTCTGCGCAACCAAGTCTGCCGTTTTTACGTGACAGGCGCGGCAAGGAGGTGCCTCTGAAGACTCATTTTTCACGAATGCTGAGTCCCTGGGCTAGCTTGCTTCGCTTGCTTCGCTTGCTTGGGGCCCAAAGCTGGTTGCTGATTTGTTGAGACACCTCGGGGTTCCAGGTGCACTTTTCTTGTTGGAAACTAGGTCCCCCAGTAGACCACCTTTTTTTTGGGAAGGCGTCCCCTACTAAAATAGACTCCCCCCCCCCCCCAAAAAAAAAGCGGGTACCCCTATTCTAACCTCTGAAATCTGGAGTTCTGACCTCGGAAAAATCTTGCGCCCAAGTCACCGGCCGCCGGCTGGACAGCGCCGGCGAGGACATTTCCAGGAGAAGAAGCACGTGGCCTTCCTGAAGAATCGGGAGGTGCCACAGGCGCGGGGCGCAAGGGGATTCAACCAGCGCCTGTTTCTTCCCGGTTGCATCGGATATGTTCCTTGACCAAAGCCTCGTTGAGAAGAGCGAGCGGGTTTCTTTGGTTCCCAAGATTATCAGGGTCCCCATGTTTGTTCAGAAATCTGGTCTTCCCCAGAATTAGTTCCCCTTTTTGTTGTTTTTTGCTTTTTTGGGGTCCCCTCCGTTTTCCACGAACCAGGCAAAAAAGATATATATATATATTTTGCTGGGGTCCTAATTCCAGCCTAGGTTTCTGGTGCTGCAAATGTGACCGCGTAAGGTCTACCTCTGATTAATAAGCACACACACCCCGCTCAAACAACTTCCCTTCCCAAATAGTTCTTGCAACTTGATTACGAATTGCTAAGTATTGCTCACATCCTTTTGAGATTTGACTTGAGGGATTTGATTTTCCAATTGCTTTAGGTTTGCTGAGGGATTTGAGTTTCAACTGGTTTAGTATTGCTGGAGCATCCTTTTGAGTTTTGACTTGTTGAGACTCCAATTGATTTAGTATTGCTGGTGACACATTGGTTTTTTTTAAGGGGGGGCCTCTAAATAAAGTTTTTTTCAACCCCCAAGTACTACCCCCCTTGTGGGGTTGATTCGGGGCCACTTTTAAAACAAGAGTATGTACATAATTTGCAGTTTGGGAGCTGGGACTTTGTTGGGATTGCAAAAGCTAGATGATTCAAATCATAGGGAGCAAGTTTCAAGGGAAATCTTTTAAAGATTGCGCCCTTTACTAAGAAAGCCTTTTCAAACACGAGTTGAGTGTTTTTTTTGGGGGGGGGCAACCAGGAATCTGTATTTAGGGGGGGCCTCTAAATAAAGTTTTTTTTCAACCCCCAAGTACTACCCCCCTTGTGGGGTTGATTCGGGGCCACTTTTAAAACAAGAGTATGTACATAATTTGCAGTTTGGGAGCTGGGACTTTGTTGGGATTGCAAAAGCTAGATGATTCAAATCATAGGGAGCAAGTTTCAAGGGAAATCTTTAAAGATTGCGCCCTTTACTAAGAAAGCCTTTTCAAACACGAGTTGAGTGTTTTTTTTGGGGGGGGGCAACCAGGAATCTGTATTTAGGGGGGGCCTCTAAATAAAGTTTTTTTTCAACCCCAGGGGAACTACCCCCCTTGTAGGGTTGATTCGGGGCCACTTTTCCAACAAGAGTATGTAAATAATTTGCAGTTTGGAGGCTAGTATTTTTTGTAGATCTGAAATTCTAAGGCAAACAAAGCAGATACTGACCAACAAGCTAGTGGAAGAGGTTGAGATGATGCTAGCGGGTGTGTGTGTGTGTGTTGTTTGGTGTGTTTTTGTGCGTGTGTGTGGATTCCCCGCCCAAAAAAACCACAAAAATCATCATAACTTCATTTCGGGGGGGTTGATTAATCAGTGCCGGCCCACACGACATGTCTGGAGGAACTTAAGTGCAATGTTCATTGGGGAATTGTCCTGTGTATTTGTTCCTGTCTTCCATGGAGCCACTCCCTCGCCCATGTTGAATTCGGTGTGTCCCGCCCCAAAAACCATATACCTACTTGCAAGTTTCAGGGAACCACCTGCATAAAGTAAAAAGTCTGCTAGGTCCCCCAGTACCTCTTTTTTTTGGGAGGGTTCCCCCACTAAAATAGACGACAGAACAAAAACATCGGGTAGCCTTATTCGAACCTCTCAAATCTGGAGGACCTAGTCCAAATCAGCCAACATGCACCCCTGCCCCCAGCCCAGAACCCGACTTTCACTTGCTGCGGTTCAGGGAAGGGAATGCCCCGTACCAAGCATCGGTTGCTGTTTCCTTCAAGCGAGTTCCCAAGTGAATTCTCGGAATCCCCACTCCCCACCCCCTTCAAAATGGAATTGGAGGGGGGTGACCCAAATGGAATTTAGGGTTCCAGTCTTCCCCTTTTGTGGGGAGTGAAATGGAATTGTGGGACCAGGTCCCCACCCCCCTCCCCTTTAGGGGGGATTTTCCGGAGACTGAAAAGTCTTGCTTCGTGAGCTCCAAGCTTTACGCAATTCACAAGGCTCGAATAATATTTGTTGCATTTTGCCAAGGGATGTTAGGACTTTTTAATTTTTGCCAACTAATGGATGTTTTCCGTACTAAACCACTAAAAGTTAGTCACTTTTAGCAGCAGAAATAAAGGAGGGTAGCCATGATCTAGTTGAAAGGGGAGTCGTGGCTGGCAAATAGCTTTTCTGAGGGACAGCATGTCGGGGGGCAACCCTGCGAGGTATGGGATGCCTATATTTACCACCAATATCAGCTTTGTAAGGCAGTATGTACCCCTTATATGGGTGATATATATATATATATGTATATACACATGTATATGTATATAATTGTATATGTATATATAACGTCCATAACGCGTCCATACCTCCAAAACCCATGCCCGGAAATACCCTTGTTTGCCATTGCTCGTTGGTTGCGTCTCAACCGTACCTGGCTCTATCGCGGCTGAGCCCGAGCTCGGCACGGCGAGTCCGCCCAAGTACTTGCTGTAAGGGGCATACTCAAGAGTCCCCACACTAGGTCCCAGAAAAACGGGTACCCTTATTCGAACCTCTCTACTGGAGGACCCCGTATATGTTCATTTTGGGTGGCTTACTCGTTTTCCAATGCTTCTAGGGGAAGCCTCCACATTCTTTCCAGGGATCCTTCTTTTCAGGAAACCCGCAAAACCTCAGGGCCGGGTTTTGGAAAAGAAGGATGATTGAAAAGAATGGGGAATCACCCCCTAGAATGTTGGCTTATTTGCACTGAGTTTGATAGGGGGTGATGCTTTAAGGGAAAACATCGGGAACATCGGATGGCAGTGGCGTCCCGTGTTGCATATAGGGGTGTTCCACTATGGAAGGATGATTGGGATCCCGCCTCCCCCGGTTTTGAACAACCCAGGCCAACAAACGGACCCATCACCCTTGTGGGTCTATACAAGGGAAGTGCCTCCCATCCACGTTGCCATGGAAGCTGACTGTGGGTTGGAAGGCAGGCTGCTCCCCTGCATACTGACATGGGGGCATAGGCCAAAGGGGCAACTTCTCCAAACACAATGGGCTTCATGTTAACCAGGGGAGTCATGTCAGGGCGGCGTTTTCCCCGCTTAGGCGGTGCAGGCCAGATGGAAGCAGCGCTGGGAAGAAGAGTTCCAGGCGAAGTGCGCGGAAAGTTTGGCCAGGCCAGCGGCTTTTGGCTTTTGGCTTTTGGAATCAATCTGCAGTATCCTTGGGCCATAGAATCTGCTCCAGGTATAATTGACAGACAATCTGTCACAGAAGCATTACAACTAGGTCCCCCAGTAGTGCCAACTTTTCGGGGAAGGGTTCCCCCTACTAAAATAGACTACCGAAAAAAAGAAACGGTACCCTTATTCTAAGATCTCTAGAGGACCTAGATTTGGTTTGGCAAGCTCACCTGGGAAAGCGTTCATGATGTAGGCCCCTACGGATCCCTCAAATTAGTTCAGGTGTTGGGATGATTGGTAACGGTTGCAGAACAGGACCCGTGTTTTCTAAGGGTGGTAACAGCCACAAGAAAGAAGTGCGGATCTCAATCTCCGGTTTGGATTCTTCGCTTTTCGGAGATCCGCAATGCCAGGTTGTGATTGTGGCAAAGGTCTGAAGGTATGAAGGTGTGATCCGCGTATGGGTCACAAATGATCAGCTCACTTTTCTGGGTGAATTCTGCTTACCCACGTTGAAGGTTCCTTGCTAGCGCGCAAGACTCGGTGCTTGAAGGACAGGAGATGAAAGTCCACTGCTAGGATTCCATATTGCCAGCATACTTCTTTGTTTGTCTTTTTGCCAGACCTTCTTTTCCGATGACCTTTGGACGTCTGGGGTGTTTCCAACAATCAAGACCTGCTTGCATGAAGGGAAGCTATTGTATAAGAGGCTAATCCTGAATTATTGTGCGTGTTTTCTCTTGGTGTAGTGGTGTCTCACTATGGGCCGGGGATTAGGAGTCGGATCCCATTTCAAAGTGTCCAGTTTGGCACCCTCTAAATCCCAATTTGTTTGGTAGATTCCCCAAACTGAAATTGCTGGTTTGGTTTAAATGTGGATCTCCTTTTTGTTTTGCTTTGTTTGGATGCCCCTTTTTCTCACCCGAAAGATTTGGGGTTTTTGATTCCAAGCCGACCGCCGCAACCAGCCTGCTCGCCGACAGAGCCTGTGACAGACAGCTGTGGCAGAGCCTGTGACGGATTTCGCGTCTCACGCAGAGCACAAGGGCAACAGCTGAAGACCCAGAATGAGGAAGATGGAGTGCTTCGGCTTTTTTTTGGGGCTTGGGCAGAAACACATGCTTGAGCTGCTGTCAGCCCATGTGATTGAATCTCGGGGCTACAGATGATGTTGCCAAAGAGGAAGCGCGACTTCAGATCGGCTACTCTTGTTTTGTCGTCAGAGTTTTTTTGCCGGCGCATCAGACGGCAGCATGTTTGAGGTCTCGCACGCGTCCCCCAGTAATGCCCTTTCGCACTTTTTTGGGGGGAGGGTTCCCCTACCAAAACGACTACACGGAAAAGCTGGTACCCTTTACTGGAGGACGTTGGCGAAGTTAAACCAAGGCTTCGCTGGGGTCTCAGGACCTGCGAGCGGCAGCGGCTCGCGGACGCCACGCGCGCGCTCTTCGCCACGCCGGCGGGGCCGGCGGAGGCGTCAGCGCCGGCGTCGGCGGTGCAAAGAGAGGAGCCGAAGCGTGGCTGGAGACGGGTTCGGTCGACGGACCCTGTGTGTCCATGGTTCGTTTCGGGACAAGGGGGGGAGCTCACTGAGTTTCAACAAAAAACCAGGGGGCGAACTCTAAAGCTAAACCCAAGGGCCAAAGGGAGGGTGTGAACCACCTCACTTCCTGAGTTTCTAAAATAACTTGTCGCACAAAAGCTTGGGCATTTTCCGGCGAATTTGCTCGAGACCAAGGAAAGCCATACACTTTCCCGTTTCCTCTCGGGTCCCACTGGTAGAATGTTGGTTTGTAATTCAAAAGACTAGCCGGCACTTTTGGGGCGCACATCCTTGAGGTGAATGCTAAGCGGGATTTACAACTGCCAGAGCCCCTGAGTCAGGATTCCCTTGTGTAGGTCAACACCGTCCCAGCAAAGTCCACTTATGCCAACATGTTTCTGGATCGTGTAGGGCTTGGTGTGCTGATTTGGACACAGCTACTTGGAACAACAAGTTGAACTTGATCCTTCAGGCCCGCGTTTGTGTTTCCATTTCCGGGGCATGATCAGATCTGCTGACTTCGCCAATGGAACGGCTTCATGTGTGGCGTTCTTTTTAACCCGCCCTGAAGCGGAGCTATTCACGCGTGCCCGGAAGGGAATGCAATCGCCGGATCGGGATTGAATCATCCACTGGGTGCGTCCAGCTTCCAAGATGGTCTTCATTACCCCCAAAGCAATACCTCCAGGTGGCTAGCCACCCACGCCAAAAGGGTGCATGCCCCGTTCTTCGGGCAAGGCGAAAACTGGCCCTGGATGCTTGGAAGGCACAACATTTTCCCATATCGCGCAGCCCCCTCTGCGGAACAATGCGCATGAAACCCAAAAAGCAGGTTCCGAAAACGTGAGGTCCTCTCAAGATCCGAACCTCAGGTTGGACCAAAGTTCAAAGTGAACCAACCAACACAACTCGTTGCTGGAGCACCCTCCCTCCAATCAGCCGATCAGAGGGTTCTGAAAGACTACTCTGCTGTGTGGCAATTCTCGGAACCCACTTCCATTGTTGGAGAAAGGGCCAACAGCGAAACTTCAAAGTCAGAATCCTCGCACTTGTGTCTGCGCCCTGGAAGCAGTCCCAAGGTCTCGAAGCCGTAGATGTTCACTGGCTTGGCATATGGGGCCATCCTGCCGCATCCACTGCCGCTCTTCCGAGGCCGGAAGATGCAGAGCCGCCTCTTCCGGTGCCGGGGAAGGACAATGGACCAATGGTTGGAAGGGGGCCAAGCGGCCGGGGGTGTCCAAAGCTGCTTCTAAACAGAAGCCAAGGAGCTACCAGGCATCGGGAAGAGGGTATGAAAATTATTACATTTTTTAATTGGGGATTGGAAGTTGGAGAGATTAGTGGAAGTCACTCACTGGGATCCCATGGTGAATGGGATCTGGGATATCGTTTGAAGTTGAATTGAAGGTTCGGGAAATGCTGCCAGAATGTCACAGACCCATTTCTTTGCAACTGGTTGGGCTGCTTCAGCGGCTTCTTCCATAAATTTGGCTTATGAATAAAGGAGAAACAAAAAAGAAGCGTAGACCACAGGGGTAGGGGCTTTAGAACCCCAAAGGTGCTCCATTGGTAACCAGTTTGTGATTTCTTTCCTGGGCCTCATGAAACTGGGGCCCGAACATCCTCATTCTTTTGCGTTTTTTTTTAGACCGTGGCCAGGATTTTGAGGATGTGTCGGATGGAAACATGCGGCTTGGCTTCCGCGAGGCCCTGGGGAACCTCCATACCCCTCCGGTCCGGGAACCGAAAGACGCCTCTACTCCGGGACCTCCTAAAATCGATGACTTCTCACTAACAGGGGAACTCCAAATGAATCCGAGGTCAATATTACCCTCAACACAAGACACACCCTGGTTTTTATTGGTCTTTAGGTGCGCGGAACGACTGCAGGAAGCGAGTTTTGTCTTTTTTGTTGTTGTTGTTGTTGAATTCCTATTTTCTTGCAAAAGGCAGCCGTTGGAGAATGGCAGCTGGAAGAGAGAGAGAGAGAGAGACAGAGAGAGAGAGACAGAGAGAGAGAGAGAGAGAGCGAGCTGGAGAAAAGAAGAGCAGCAGTCCCATTGCTTTAATAATCAAGCAGCCCCAACAGCAGCCAAGGAGAAGGTAGGCAAACCCCCCCCCGCTACAAGAGGCAGTTGGTGACCCTTTGGCCCTTTGGGGAAGCAATGTCTGCTATTATGTGGAGAAAGTGGTTGGTTTGCGTGGGCATAAGTACATTTCGCCTGACATGCGTTCAACACATCACTTGAGATCGGAGGGTCCTCAACCTTTGCGGTTGTTTAGACCAATGTGAATGTTTTCCAGCGAGGGAACCAGCGACGGGCATTTTGAATCCGAGGCTCCAAGGCAACCGCTGTCTCTGCTGCTACAAAGATGTGCCGGCCAGCGAACTGCGGAGCCACAAGGAGACGCCGTCTCACGCCGCTTGCTCCGCATGCTTTTCATGGCTGGGAAGGAGGGAGGGGAGGGAGGGGAGCTCAAATAAGCCCTTAGGCCCCGAAAAAAGGCCTTCGGCTCCCTCCCCAGGCTTGGAAACCTAAAAGGCCTTAGGGATCCCAACTCTCCTAACTCTTATTTGGGGAGGAGAAGGTTTCTCTCTATTCAGTTTGGGGCTCCCTCTCCCCCCATCCCTCCCAGCCCCCATGAGCTTTGCTGTTTTGGCGCGGTGGGTTGGCCGTGATGCATCTGACTTTGCGAGGGGTGAAACAAGCGAAAGCCATGCCGTAGGTCCTCTGCTTGGGCCCTGTCTTGCTCCAGGTGGAAGGACTGACTTACACTGGACCGAGGTAGTGTTGAAAACAAAACCACCCGCCTGCCCGCCCATCCCACCGGCATGGGTAAGAAAGCAAGCCTGAGATTTGAGCACTTGAGCGTACCTAGACTCTCCATGACCCTTAAAAAATGGGGTCAGCGACCCAAACATGGGGTCATGACCCCATTATTTTGGGTAATGACCAACCATTTTGAAAGGGTCAGAAGGAGACTCCAGCACGTGATGTAGACTTCGAACTCGGTCTATCGAGTTCTGCTGGATGGCTCTGGTGTGTTGCAGCGCCAAGCTGAAGGGCTACGGGGAGAGCTGAAGGCACCACTTTTTTTTACAGTTTTACGTGATTCCTTTAGGATTCCCCCACATACCATCCTTCCATTTGCTGAAATGAAGATGTTTAGATTTTGTGGTGGTTCTAAAGGGAGTCGATTTCACTACTGGACACATTTTCATTTTTCCCGGGGGTCTTCACCAAATGGAAGCATCCCATTTGAATGACCACACTTAGGCCCTTACGGCTGACCTCCCCCTTCCCCCCCCTTTTCCTCGGCCTGCAAGTTGACCACCAGCACCCAAACACCTGCATGATCAGAGGAGCCCCCCTGTCCCACCCCACCCAGCATTCGCCCTGGCTCAGGGCAAGCAGTTGAAGTACGTCATGCACGCCATTGGTCTCCTGCAAGAGCACGGTGACAAGCTCTGGCGGGAGGGCATGACACTGAAGGCGTCCGGCGTCCGGGACACTGAAGGCTATGTGTGGCCTGAGATTTGAGACATGTCTTTATGGCCGTTGAGTAACGGATCTTTGGGACCTTAGCTTTGTGGTTGAAGCTTTGTGGATTCTCCGTATTGGACCCACAAAAAGTGAACAGCTCGTTGCAGAGGGGTCAACAGGAACCAAGATGTGGAGCTTCATGATTTGCAAGGTTCAGGGAGGCACCGGCGATGCCTGTCAAAATGACATGTGAAAAGAAACTTGCTGCTGAATTGGCTCCTTTGGCAAACGGTGTGTTGGCTTATTCAGTTCACACGGTACTTTCCCAAAATAATAAGGCTCTTGAGTCTTATCCGCCCCCTCCTCCGCAAAAAAAAAAAAAACAAAAACAAGACTCGCTTCCTGAGATCATTGGCTTGAAGCTGTTTGGGAAGACCATTTGGGGGGCAAACCGGACTTCTCTTGGCCGGTCCACTCAGGAAGTGAGCATAAAAAAAGTTCCCAGTTTCAGGATTGAAGTGCCTCGTCTTGTGCTTTTGTTCACTTTTGGCCAGCAGCCAAGAAGTGTTTCAGGGTGATGTTGTTCAAATAGGGATTTCAAAGCTTCACTATTGTTGGATCCAGTTGTTTGGTGTTTGGCTGTTTTTGGTTCTTTTCAGTTTTTCTAGGCACCCTGCAAACAACAAAGCTTGTCGCTGCTACACCAAGGGCGGGAAAGAAAGCGAACCGTAACATGTTTGTTCTTTTTCGAAAAGTAGAGCTTGGTGACTGAGGCAGGAGGTGCCCGAATCATACAGGAGATGTTGGTGGGAGAAATCGCTAATTTAGTGATGGTTTCCGTTGAAGGTTTCCAATTTAGTATTGGGCCAATTGGGGGGGACGGAAGTTTCCAATACAGTAAGAACTATAGTTTGCAGCATATTTGTTTCCCCCCCTCTTCTTTCTTTCTCCCTCTCTCTCTCCTCCCTCTCTTTTTCTCTCGCTCTTTCCCTTTCTGTCTCCTTCGCAGGATGGAGTGATCAAGTGCAGTTGCGGCAAGGACGGGGGGTGTGCGGCTTGCCACAGCTTCGGCCCCGCCCCCCCCCCCCTCCCAAGTCTTCCCCGGCTGCTTCACAGCCTTTGCCGCTGGTTGGATCTTCAAAAAGCATCGCCGGGTTGTTAATTCAACTATTCTCACTTTTTGGCTATGACGCCGGCAGGGATACCAAACAGGGCCCTGCTTCTTGAAATCCCGCCCCACCACTTTCTACTTTCTTCAACCAAGCATGTTGCAGGCCCAGTGTGCCGCGAGCGGGGAAAACTCCCCGCGCGCAGGAGTGCGCCTGGTGGGAGATAAGCCGCTGGTTCAGTGAGGGCAGCCTCCATGCCGAGACGAAACAACATCAGCGGCTTGGAGGAAGATTGGTTAGTTGCCCAGTGGGTTGCTCCCTTTTTGCAACTTGTTTGGGGAAGGGTTCCCATTTAAAGTGAAGCAACCAAACAAGGGTGCCGCTTCTTTGTTTTTTCATGGAAATCCACTGGGCATCTGAGGTGGTGCTGCCCGTGAATCTTCCGAGACTATGCTTAGGATTCGCTATGGGGTTGGAATCTACAAGTAAGGGAGTGGCAAAATGGGTAAGCTGTCTGTTTGGGTCATGTTTGTTTCCACGGCTAGGGACGCCACCCGGACCGGAAGCCAATCATTTTCGGAGTTGCCCATGCCACAGGTCATTGGTCAGGCTTCCCTGTACCAGGCCGGGTATTGCAGCATGAGGCGCTGTATGGACCAAGCTAGAGGATGTCCGGTTGGGCTAGGATGTGGGGAGATTACTTCCATTTGCTGAAATGAATATTTGTTTTATTTTCCACAGTTGGTTTAAAAGGGAATCGACTTCACTACTGGACATATTTTCATTTTTTCCAGAGGTCTCAACCAAATGGAAGATTAATGTTGCTAATAGCCGACTTACGATAGGATTAGCTAGGGTTGGGGGATTTGTTTTGTAGTTTCATCGTATCTTGGGCTTCTCACCACTTGATAAGCTGTTGACCCAAGCATCCCAAGCAGAGAGTGTTCCCTTCCGGCCGAATTAAAGGGAACGGTACCATCCACTTCCGCCCTGTGGATGTTTTTGACCCTGGACGGAAGGACTTGGCTGTTCAACAGGCCTAGGCAGCACAGGCCCCGAATTGAAGACGGCCGGGGCACGATTTTTTTGTTTTTTTCCGCCCGAGTTGGGGAATGGGAGTTAGCCATATTATCCTTGGAGCATGTTTGTGTGTGGCCAACGAATTAAATCAGAAAGCGTGCTCAAACCATGGTTCTAATGGGAAGATTGCACAATAAATCCGATTACTCATCCAGTTGTCCACTGAGTCCCCTTTCTTGGTGACCAACTTGTGGCCCTCCTGTCCATGAGTGGAGGTGCATTCTGGCGTTCTGCTGATGAGGATGGACTCGGGGACTAACTTGAATTGAGTCACCAGTGAAGGTGAAAGGTATCCCAAGCGAACCCTTGGCATAGGGGAAGAATTGCATACTGCGGACGTGGCCAATATGTATTCCCCTAATCCTGGCCTGGCGGATGCCAAACTATCCGCACCACACCACTGTCGTACCACTCGTAGGACCTTCACGCAGGGCTCACATTTGGTGACACTTCTGCATAAACTCTTTGGGGGGTCGATCGCGAGAAAAACTCGCCTGAGGGCCCCCTCTTGTTTTTTGAGCACAAGATCCCGGAAATACCAGGTAAACGATTTCACACGGGTCGGTTTGCAATTGTCTTTGAACATTAACCCCTGGAAAATGACACAGACTTGGCACCAAAGGATGATGCTTGTTAAAATCACCCAGCGAGGCAAATAGGGTATACTTGACATTGCGACCATGTTGCGTGGGATTCTTGGTTGACCAGGACGTTTAGGAAGTCTTATTGGCCAAGTAGGAAGGGAAAGCTCCGAAGCCACCCCGCCCTCAAGGGCAAATCGCAACCAGAGCGTTATGCCATATTCCACTTTCATTGCAGGTATTTACAGTTTTCTCTACCTGGGTAGTGGCTTGGGGCTGGCAACTCCAGATCCTCACTTCCAAGGTTTCTGGACTTTCAGGACATTTTTTGGGGGGCTTTGCCAATGTTTCGCATTTTTTGGCTTTTCATTGAACACTTTAAGCATCTTTTGGGCTTTGCCAATTTTAGTGGTCAAACAGTCTGGTTGCTTCAGCGACCGGCCGCCTTCGGAGAGAATCCCGCTCCGCAGTTCGAAGTTCCGAGGAAGTGGCGCCGCAACGAGGGGTGGCCGCCCCCGCCGGAGATGCCCTGGGACGCCGCGCGGCGCGCGCGCTGGCGCGGGTCGCCGGATGTCGCCGGAGTTCGCCGGAGTTCGCGGGTCGGAGGGGGAGCTGCGGTGAGTCCGAGTTTGCTCTCGAAGGGTCCCGAGAGCGCCAGAGACGTGGTTGTGGGTCAAAACCAATGGTACCATTTTGGGGTAGGTGCACCACCCATTTTTGTCTATTCAGTGGGGATTGGGATGTTCACTGGGGGTACGGGATTTTGACCCATGGCCACATGGTAGTGGAACATGAGGTAGGGTCACTTTCTGTGATATCAGAGTCAGATGCTTTGCCCCAATATCAAACCGGAGATTGGCTGGAAATTGGTCCACTTTCGGTGACGTCACAGCTTTCCCTGTAAACTCACCAAGTGTTGTTTGGCCTACTTTGGCGTCACATTGCATTCGGGAACCCCCAGAACGTGTGTGTCCTTTTGCTTAAAGCTGAGCACAGGGCTCTACCGCTATTGGGTTGGATCTTTAGACTGAACAACTTGTTGGATTCCCCCTCATACTTCCTTGCAACCAGCAAGAAGTTAAACTTTTGCTGGGGGATCTACAGCACCCAAGAGGGAGTTCCCCCAACCAAACCCCACGAACCCAAAAGAACCGGCGCCAGGCTGGCCTGTCTCAAGGCTACCAGCCCGCCGGCTAGCCGCGAGCGTGAGGCCGGGCGAACGAAAGCAAGCTGAATCCACCGAATAGGTCCAACTTGCGTGCGCAAAATGGACGCACCCCAGCTTGAAAGCTTTTAGGCCACGTATAGTGTGTGTGTATATAATATATATATATATATGTATATAATGCCAAAACAAAAGCAAGGCTAAAAGCTCTGAAACCTGCACAGGCGCAAACAAATGCAAAGCATGCAAAATCTAGACCAAAAAATCCATGACCTCTGACATTGCATCTCTTTTTTTGCTTTCCCCCCCCCTTTGTTGAGCCAGTGCAGGTCTTGGAGCCTTCAGGTTTGGCGAGGCGTTTGAAGGTCATGATCACGTGCTGGGTGGCTTCCTTCATGTCGGTGCAATTCCTTGCGATTTAAGGCTTGCGGCTTTGGACGGCTTCGCCTTTGTGAAAGCAAAGAGTCAGGGAACCGGGTTGGTGGTTTGGAGTGCTGGTGGTTTGAACCCAACTTGTTCTAGAGAGGAATTCACTGGCACACTTGCGTTCTGTCCGGGTTGCTTGAAAGAATTAGTTTACAATGTTGGCCAGTTTTCCTGGTGAATTATGTGACTTTGGATGTGCTCTCGTTACTCCGCGAGCAGCTTCTTGTGGGGACGTGTTGCAACATACTCCCCTGACCATACACAATCTGAGGGATTAACGTGCTGCAAATTGATCTAACAACTCATGTTTCACAACCGGCTGGAAGGGGGTGCAAGTGTTTGAGGGGTTTGGCTGAGCCGGGCTCTGCAAATGCACTGGTAAACCAACAAGTAGCTGGGACACCTTCCCCGGCCTTTGCTTGAAACAGCCTGCCGTACCACGGCTCTCAATGGAAGGAGCAGCGGGCGCGGGCAACGCAGGGTTGACCCCCGCCACGTCGAGCTTAAGAAGACCCTGTGCTTATCAGGGTGGACAAAATCCGTTCGCACCGTTTGAAACCCTGGGTGAAGCCGTTTGTTTGTTGGCTTGCACAGGCAAATCATCATGCCAGGGTTTCTTAGCGTCTTAGGTGGTGCGAAAAGGATTTCGTCACAGTATGTCGAGTTCAGGTTGTGCACCGCCGAATATGTACACTCCCCCAGACTGGCATGGAACCAAGTCTTCCAAGCAGCTTCCATGTTAGTCTGAGGGCAACAGCATGACGGAGCTGAGATGCCGGGGTTGAGACATCGAGCTCCTGGCCTCGCCTGGGCCCCTCGGTTCAGGAGATTCCTGAGCCGGCGGTGAAGCGCCAGCGTACCGAAGTGCCAGCCTCGGGTTTTTGGATGCGACGGCAAGACCTGCGTAGCGGTCACACCACTTTGAATCCATGGGAATCCAGGAGCCCCTTGGACCCTTTTTTGTGAGGGCCCCCTTATCCCCCCTTTCTGGCCTCAAATAATTAGTGAGGTCCAAGGGGCTCCTGGGGATGGGAAGCGATTGTTTGCGGGCATTTGCAGGGGAATCATGAAAAGCCAGGGCTTCTTTGGCGGTGCGAAATGGGTTTTGTCCATCCACTGTAGGGCGCTGCTTTTGGAGGTTTGCCCGGCGGACGGGAAGCACCGGCTTGGATCCGAGGGCACGCATGTCGCATGCCGGCCAAGGAGGATCCAAGTTTAAGAGAGAGAAACACCTGCCAACAACAGTGAAGGTTCCTTGCCCCTGTGCTTTCAGCAGTTCGGAGATCGGTTTCCGGAATGACATCCACGTTGGATGCAAGGGGCGAGGGTCGAGACCGCAAGAACACAGCGCAGCGAGGTTGCCAGACTTGACTCACGTCGTTGCCCTTTCTGCTTTGTTCCTCCTTTCTCCTGCGCAGAGTCAACTTTCAGGGGGTCTACGACTGAGTTTTCTCGCAGGACGTGTTGCTGACAAAAGCTAAAATGATTGAAACAACCAAAATGACTGTATTTCCCATTAAATGGGGAAGTTACCCATGGTCATTTTGGGGCCAGGAACCTTGATGAACCAACAAATGCCAATATGTGCAAGCTTAGGGGTAGGCTCCCTCGGTAAACAAGTGGGAAGGGGAAGCCATGTCAGTATCGGGAAAGCCCGATTCGGAAATCATTCGGGGTTGCCAGATGCTAAATCGCCCAGATCCCATTTTCGCTTCAAAGGAACCACACAAACTGAACCCAGTGTACTAGCCGTTGGTTGGAAGAGCCAAGGAGCCAAATGTTCCTTTAAAGAGGGAGCTAAGGAGCTACCAGGAGGTCTGTAAGGACATGAGAACCAGGCTAATGACCATTTTTTTGGTTGCAGAACCCCGATTTAGCACCCAGGGTGGGGTTGTAAGCCACAGCACCTTTGCGAGGCGCCAACCAGTGCTGCCAGCACCGAGACAGGCACAGACTCCAGAACTTCTTGGGTGCCTGAAATTTTGACCCCCATGACTGATCACTAGCGGGATGCCGTACTTGGGGAAATAGCCCCCTCCTACTCTACCGGTCCAAGGTTGTGTTTGGATGCAAGGCTACAACCAGCCACTTTGTGTGAACATTGGGCCACTGTTCTTGACCATTTCGTACCTGACAAACGGGGGTGCGACACTCCTTTCATAAGAGAACCATTTTGCGGTCTGGTATGGTCTGGTAAAAGACTTCGGGACGCGAACTTTAACCATAGTTTAAGCCTCCTGTTGCATTATGGCCATTTGGTTGGATCTTTGGACTTTACTTTTTTGGCACCAGTGGATGTTCCATTGGAACCACAAAAAGCTACACCTTTTTTTCAGCGAGGTCAACAGCAACCAAGTGTATGCTGGCTTTAAAGAGTTTTCCCGCTTGTTTGAACCGATTTTGCCGATTCCCAACACCCGGAGTCAACCTCCTCTTATTCCATAGCCCCCACCTGCGTCATAGTCGATGTCGCTTCTTTGGTGCACACTTCTCTAGCAAGTACGGGATAAGGTTGCGGGTGTCCAGATGCCCGATGTTCCACTGTCCAGTTTCTTGAAACACCGGCTATTTCGCTCAAGGGTGAGGTGAGACCAAATTAGAACCAGCAAACGCATTCCGACCCAAGCAGTTTTCAATCCACCAAAAGGGCCAATCGTTGGGGAGTTGTTGCTTGGAGGGAGAGCAGCGAACAATGAAGCAGTCAGACCCGGAAACCTGCTCCATGGAATATTTACACCCATGTATCTTCCGAATGGATCAAACCTACGTGTCCTCTCACCTGTTCATAGCCAACCTGCTGGACCCTCTTTTTCTCCTCCCCTTGTTTGGTCTTTGTCAAGATCGCAAAAGATTGAGCAGAGCTCCTTAAAAGAAGCTCATGTTGCAACCATTTGAACCATGTTGCTGGCTTTTTCTTTCCAAAGTGCAGAAATGGAAACCGCCAGCATTTACAAGTTGCAATGTTCAGGTGTTTTTCGTGCATCCGGATCCCTGAGCTTCGACTTCCAGGGCCGTGAGTCGCCTGGGATGTGTGGCCCGTGGGCCCGTCGGCTCGGTTTCGTGCCCGCGAGGCGCGAGCAGCTCTGGGAGCCGCCCGAGCGTGGCGCGGAGCATGCAACGAGCTGTGACGGAGGCGTGAAGCATTCCGGAGGAGGTCTGCTCAGAAAAATATTAGGGGTTGTCTTTTGGAGGCCGCGCCTTTGTCTCATTTGTCTTTTGTATTTTCTTTTTTTAAGCGGAAGCTTCTTCCATTTTTTGGGATAGGGTTCCCCTACTAAAATAGATTTTAAAAAACATGGGTGCCCTTACTCCAGCCACTCTACTGGAGGCCCTAGTGGTTGAGTGTGACTCAAAATCCCGTCGTGTACTCAGTTGGGCCAAGCTTTTGCCCTGGATCAAGCGATCCCGCATACACCAGGTTGCAGCTGCTGAGGCATTTGGAAAGTGAGCAGCTGTTGAAGGTGAGCCAAGTGTTTTTCAAAGGTTTTGAAGGTCATGAGCCGATTAAAGGTCATGAGCCAATTGTGTTTCATGGATTTTTCCTCCCAAAGGTCCAATACTGATTCGGAGCCACTTCCCCCCATTGGCCCCCCATAGCCAATCGGTATACAAAAGGGGGTTGGAGTCAAAACAACTGGTTGAGCTGGAGCAGGTTCTTTTCAAATGACCACTTCTCCCCGGTTGGTGGAGGTTTCCTGTTAAATCAATCATAGAAAAGGGCTGCTGTGCGCTTCGGATGATGACGCCACATGACACCCTTTTTCTTAGTATCAGACACCTGCAGGAAAGCTGAAGCCATGTGTTGGGGTCCCTTGACACACAGTTTCCAATTTGGCAGTGGGTCAAATTAGGTACCCAAAATGGGAACCCTGGAAAATGGAAACATGGACAAAAAAATCCTGGGGTCCCACGGTGGTTTAATTCTGACACAGCCATTACGCGGCCCTGTCAGAAAGGCGTTCTGGAAGTTCGGCAACGGACGCCCAGGGGGTGGGCCCTCCGACTGCTGATGAGATCAAGGATGCGAAGGAGAACTGTGAACACCGCCGTGGCGCGGCGGACATGGCTGCGAGGCGTGTCTAGGTCCCCCAGCTAGGTGCCCTTTTACCTCGTTTTTGTTGGTTGCGAGGGTTCCCCTACTAAAATAGACTACAGAAAAAGGGTACCCTTATTCTATCCTCTCTACTGGAGGACCTAGGTGTTTATAGAGGAGGCACCAACCCGAACTCAGCGAATATGGTTGCCTATGATCATTCAGGGTTCCGTTGCGATAGATCTTCACATGTCATATATGTAGGCACATGTGTTGTGTTGTTTGTGTGTGTGCGTGTGTGTGTGTTTGTTTGTTTGTTTGTTTGATTGATTGTCTGTCTGTCTGTCTGTCTGTCTGTCTGTCTGTCTGTCTGTCTGTCTGTCTGTTTGTCTGTCTGTCTGTCTGTCTGTCTGTCCGTCTGTGTATTTGTTTGTGTGTTTGTTCTTCTGCTTGGTTGGTTGGTTGGTTGGTTGATTGGTTTGTTGCTTGTTAGATTGCTAGGTTGCTGACTTTTGAGCTTTTTCGTTTGGTTGTGTGTTTTTGTGTGTTTGTTGCGTGTGTGTGTGTGTCTCTCTGTGTGGGTGTGTTTCTGTGTGTGTGTGTGTGTTTGTTTGTTTGTTTGTTTGGTTGTTTGTTTGATTGATTGTTTGTTTGCTTGTTTGTTTGTTTGTTTGTTTGTTTGTTTGTTTTTGTTGGTTTGTTGGTTTGTGTTTTGGTTTCGCCTGCTTGTATGCAGCACACGCTCTCCCAAGACTTGCGCCTCAATGTATGAGCCCTGGGTATACAAACCCGGCTCATCTGCCTCTGCCTCTGCCACAACTCCCCTGGCCCCCTTTGCGGTGGTCCCTTCCCTTTGCCGTTCCTGCCCTTAACGGGTGCCCTTTCACGGCCGTCATGGGTGCCTGTTGGTTTTGGTGGCAACTGGTTGAATGGGTGCGTTCCGAAGTGCTTGGAATCCTTCGCATTTTGTGACACCCCCTTGAAATCCACTAGGTTGATAAGGGGGGGGGGGGGGAACATCGGGCGGAAGCATTTATGGCGCATTCTGTGGGATGTGTGACATTGCCTGGCTTTTCCTCAGACAGCGGCATGTTCTACAACCACAAGGTATGAGTCACCGTCGAAAGAACCAGAATTTGGGCCCTGCAAAGGGAAGGCAGGGTATGCTACGTTACATTCAAACAGCCCTGATGTCAAAAACACAATTTAGACGCGGCTTGCATGGATTTATCCTATTAAAAGGTCACACCGAGTACTGACATAACAGGTGCAATCCACCAAAAGCACGTGACCAAGATGAAGATCCAGTTCTTTCAGCCACTGGCTTCTCCCACAGTCTTGCAGATTTGCCGAAGGTGCCAGATTCTTAGATGACAGGGATCCCTGTATGTAGTGCAAACCCAGAAAGCTCTTTGCGGACCCTGTCTTGCCTGACATTCTCCTTCGGAAGCCTTACTGTTTTGTTGTCAGGGGAATTTCCTTTACAGTGACGTAGCCACGGAAAGGGTTCTTTCAGCCCTACTGTGGATGGACGAAATCCATTTCGCACCACGTTGAAGCCATGGGAAACCATTGTTCGTTGGTATTTACAGGAATCAAATCAGTCCAGGGTTTCTTAGACAGTAGGGCGCGGGAATACCCGTGACCTTAGGCAACTACCCGCCGCTGCCTGGAGATCTGCAGTGGGGCTGGTCATGCTTCAAGAAAAAAACCAAGGACCGGGAATGCCACGCGTGGCTCGTGTAAGGCGGCGGCACAAGCTTCCATTTGCTTAAATGGGTATGGGTCAATGTTAAAGCACCAGGGCACCGCAGGTTTAGTCCTTGGTTCCATTTAGCAAGGCTCCATTTTGGGTACCGATTTTTGACCCGCAGCCAAATGCGGCGATTTAAACCAGAATGAAACCCTGGGTAAGTGAAGGTTAGTAAAAAGGACGGTCCCAACCATACATGGGTGCAGGCGGCCATGTGATTCTTCGCAATGCTCTGGGTGGACGATTTCACTAGCGGGTGTTGATTTCTCCGTTGAAGAGCTGACAGCAATCATGTGTAGTCTACTGTTTGTGGGGAACATGGTCCCAAGCCCCCAAGCTTCCCGCACAAAAATGGGTGGCAACCCTCATTTTCCCATGCTGGAACACGAAGTGAAGGGGTCACTGGGAAGCCTGCAAGTCGCGTGTCAATCAAAGGATTGCGTCCTCAATTTGTGTTCTCAAAATTTGTTAAAGGGGAACCAAGGGCAACTGTTTTGGGGACTATTTTGGGAAAAAGCCCCACGTGAACAATCTGTGATGCGACTTCTTTGCTTTGAGGCGGATGTCCCGTTGGCAGCAGAAGATGGCTGGGCCACCTCATTTCTAGCCTCACCTTCCCGTTTGTGGTCCTTCTCTTCAAGAGTGGAAGCTGATGTAGAAGTGCAGAAGACCACTCATTTTGTCCTGCTGGAACCCGCACATTGTGCCCTCAACAGCACCTACCCTCCAAAAAAAATGCAGCCTGGCCGGAGTCCTAACTCGGAAGCAAGACCGCTTTGCAATCTGATGTGTGTCCTCCATGGCCCCCTCACAAGTCCAAAGGGGCTCCTGTTTATCTACCCTCAATCCTGGTGGTTACCACCTTTGCATGCGATGCTTGCAGAAAATCGGATGAAAGTCGACGGGTGAAGCGGAATTGCCTGGGAATGTCTAATCGAGGGAGTTTTGCAACCATCCTTAGAGAGGTACCCGCATTTGCTACTATATAAGTGATTCAAGCTTGGGGCTATGAGGATGTTTTATTTGAGAGTACCATGCACTTCCCAAAGAAGTAAATAAGCTTGTCAATGGAGTAGTGGCGCGCCACCGCCAGTCAGTGTAGCGACCAAAAGCTGATATACCGTGTTACATTGTAAAGTGGCCCTTTGAATTGCCTTTGCCACGCAAAACACGCAGAGATAGAAATTGCAAGAGGGCATGTTTCAGAAAGTGGCTACCGGACCGACAGACTCTTTTTTCTGAAGGCTGTTGTAGCCGTGTCCCACTTGCAAATTGGGTTGAGCAGCTTCTCATTTTGAACCACAGAGTTGTTGCATTTTCCTTTTTCTTTGTTGGTTTTAACTGAAACTGTTAGTTTTCAGACAATCTAGCACCACAGTTTTTGTTTGTTTCACGTATGGGGGGGGCGATCCGAAATTTTCAGAAGTTTGATTTGGTTTCCGCTCAGCCAATGATTAAATTAGCCCCCCCCCCCCAATGTTCACCAAGAACTCCAGGCAGTTCGGGTCTCTTCCGCTCAAACATTTCCATTTGCGTCTGGAGGTGTGTGCGTTTTTAAGGATCAACCATTCTGGAGCAGAACATCCTAGAGTTTCCATGACCCCTAGAAAAAGGGGTCATGACCCCTTACCCCATTTTTAAGGGTCATGGAGAGTCTAGGATCGAAGGGAAACCGCCTGGCTTTGGATGGCACCCGATTTTTTTACGCACTCGTCTCACGTCGATGGCCAATGCAGGAGGGCTGGATTTGGTGCTCGCGGTGTCATGTCTGGGCCACCTGGCTTGAGTGGCCAAATGGCGCCGTGTCGTCTTTTGCCTCACTTCCTGAGTTCTGTAAACTTTTTGTGAAGACCATGTTAGTGGCAATCAACAAGTTTGGACTTGTTCTGGCCAATCTACGCGGGACAGTGAGTCTTGGTTTGACTCCCCAAACCGCTTGCATTCTTGTTGGTTCCCTTCAATTGCTTGGCCCCCCTGAATGGGTTGCTTGGGGCTTGAAACCTCGGTTCTTGCAGAGGGCAAATGGGAAGCCATTCCCTGGCCTCCAAAGCACATATAATTAAAATGCAAACCGTATATTGGGAGGTTGACTGGTGGTTGCATGCAGCCCAAACGACCAAGTGAGGCAATGCCCTCCGACTAACATGGAACCCCCGATTGCGGAGACTTGTCTGCCAGAAACCCCCACTCAGGTTCCATAAACGAGAGAATGTGTTTTGGTTCCCCTGGCAGGAAATCACGTAGGGATTGGGCATAGTCCACGCCGAATCCGAAGAGTAGTTTTGAGAACCCCTCAACATGTTGAAGCACTGTTGAGGTGTTGTTTCCTTCGGACGAGACTAGTTTCCCTTGGAGCGCAAAAGGAGAAGGAATCATGAACGGCGCCTTTGGAGAATCCGAAATGCTCAACACCAGACGAGTTCCTTTTATTTTTTGCCAGGAACACTGGGACAACCATAGCCAAGACATCACTGGCTCGTCCATGGAGGGAGCCTTTTTGAGGAAGAACATCGTGGGCTCAAAACAATGTGTTGTGGGCAAACAAGCTCACTGATTGGGGGCTAGAACGAGCGAAATCCTACAGTGAATGGCCGAAAACCATTTTGCAGCACTTAAGAAACCCTGGAATGACGATTTCCCTGAAGATACCAACCAACAACGGTTTCGACCATGTTTTCAAAGTGGTGCGAAATGGATTTCGCAACCATCCGTACGGTGGGACTCAATAGGATGAAATTTCCTTTCGGGAAATTCGTGTAGGTTTGCGATTTACAGTATCTAGAGTCTCCATGACCCCTAGAAAAAGGGGTCATTGACCCCTTAATTTTAGGCAATGACCCCATTTTTTAAGGGTCATGGAGAGCCTAGGTAGATTTGCCACAGATTTCGTGTCAAGAATCCCTCGCTGAATTTGGATCACGCCCTTCCGGAAAAAATGCGTTTCATGCCGGTCGTACGTCAAAAAATGCAAGGTAATCGGCATATTGTCCAGTGGCGGAGGTGTCTTTTTTAGGGACCAGCCCCCCGCCCCCCCGGCCCAAAAAAGAAAAGGGGGGCGAAGAGCGTTGTCCTTTTGATTTCCTCCCAAAGCCAAACACATTTAGGGTTCCACTACAGAAACTGCCAGACCCATAAAGTTCATTTGGGGGAGCGAGGCTCACGGTAGTTTTGACGGCCCAGTGGAGTACCTGCGCCACTCTGGAAAACGAAATAGCCATAGTTCCAGGGGTTGCTTCCCGATTCTTTTCAACCATCGTTCTTTTCAAAAACCGATCGCTGTTTCTCCGGGGTTTTGGGTGGTTTTTTGGAAAGACGGATGCCAGGAAAGAATGGACATGGAAGGTACCCCTAGAGTCTGCAGTTTGGGCGGCAGACACGGCCCAAGTTCCGATGGAAGCGGCTCGGGGCATGGGAAAGGCTCACGATGGGATTCTTCGATTCGGGCGAGCGCGCGGTTATCGAGAAATGATACAGGCGAACGCGCGTTGCTGTCATCCTCCGTCAAAGCAGGGAGGAAGTTGATTAAAAGGTTTTGTCCTTGCCCTTGGTGGTGAAGTTGATCTCATTTTCCCAGCCTCCAAGCCTCAGTCCCTGAGTTCCGTTTCGGACGTTAGTCACTGGGGTTCGGACCATTTTCATGGTAAGCAAAAGGTTCAGACCTGTTGGGGCCAGTCGACTCTGGAAGTGAGAAAAGGAGGCCCTCCATTTCTGTAGGAGTCCAAAACAAAACTCGGCTGATCACAAGGGGCCCTTTATCAAGCCCATTACCGGAATGTTCAGTATGGGTAACCCCTTGCAAAACATTGCAAGCCAACTGGTTCGACGAAAATCGCTTCTTGAATGGTTCAGACCCCGTATGAATCAACCACAAACGAAAATCTCGCAAACGAGCACTCGGGTACTTTTTTGGGCCTCGATGTGAGCTGGTCATGGGAGCCTTGCCAGGTGGGTGTGGTGAGTTGGGATGGCAGCGCAAAGTACACCTTGAGCCGCGGCTCCGGGCTTTGGGCTCCGGGCTCCGGGCTCCGGGCTCTGGCTGCCGCCTTTCCTGCCTAGTTGTTTGTTTGTTCTGTTTTTGTTTCTTTCCCGGAACAACCTGCAAGCGTTTGGTGCTTTCTTAGGTGAGTAGCTTTCAGCTTGCTTCCACTTAAGCAACTAAACGTTCGCTTTTAGCGGAGGATCAATTTGTGGACTGCCCAGCAAAAGGACCACTTCCTTTGATTTTGATTCCGAAGCACAGCTTTGCGTTGGTCAAACCCTAACTCACTTTCAGCCAAACTACCCCTCAGTTGCTACTTGTGGGTTCTGGGTGTTTGTTTTTCCTTTGGGCTTCCCGCCCGGAAGCCTCAGCCAACACCCAAGACGAAGGGCACACCCTCTCCCCTACTCCACACACCCATTGTTTTTGTTGGGTATATTTGAACAACCGTGTTGTCCAGGTAAGCATTTTGTCTTTTGGTCACTGGCTAGCATCTTACCCTTAATCACGAGGGCATTCGAAGCATGAGTTGTTCCAAGCACAGCTCAAGGCCGTCAGGTAGCAGCTGGCGCCAGTTGCGCGCCACGATTGGTCATGCCATGGGTTGAAGCTGAGCCTCAGTTCGTCTTTTCAAGAACGGCGAACTTGTGCAGGAAGGAAGGCAAGGATGTCAGGATGTTTTTTCCACGTCGCAAAACTTATACTTGGACAGATTTATGGAGAGCAGCTGGCTTTCCTTATCTCTTCGCGCAGGCGGTTGCTAGCGCTACACATGCCCAGGGGACAAAAGGCTCAAGAGGCTAGCGTCAACCTCAACCGAAAAGACATTAGGGGTGGATATAAAGTTACAGGGGAAAGGGAGGAGAAGACAGCAGACCCAGCCTATCCGATCCGACCTTGCTAAGGTGACGCTGCCGGCGAGCGCGGGAGCTGCCCGCATTTTTCCCCTGAGCAGCTTAAGCGACGGTACACAGGCGCGGGGTGTTCGGCAGCCCGTGTGAAATATCCAAGCCCTGGATGAGATTGGGGAGGGAGTGGCCCTGGAATCTCATCAGCTCAATTGTTTTGCCTTTGTCGGGGTGGACATGTTTTAGGTTTGCTTTGAAGGACCCCTGACGGCAAGTTGAATACTTTTAATATTTTAGGCAAAGCATAGCAAGCTAAAGGATAAACCATCATTTTTTCTGCAAAAATGCCTAACGGCATGATTTGGCGAATACTTCGTGTGGTGTTAGTTGGCTTAGTAGGGGTTTCGTCTGGTGGTTGGGTTTTCATTTCGTCCACAAGTTGTTCGCTTTTGTTGGCCTTTGGCAGGGAAGGCGCCGACAGGTACATCTTCAAAATGTGTGAAAGTCTTTGCGACGCCTCTTCTTACCCCCCTCTACATCCTGGAGTTTGTTTTTGATGTTTTGGGAACCATTTGAGTGGCAACCAAGTTTGGGCTCTGTTCTCGCAAATCCACTCAGGAAATGAGTTATTTGGGGTTGGGTAGTTCATGACACGATCTGGGCATATGAGAACGAGCTCACCGATGGGGTAGGCGATAGCTCACCATGATCCTTCGCTACGAGATTCTTGTTTCCAGGTGATCAATCCCAGGGTTCTACTTTTTGACTATCTCAGAGTGGACTTAAATCCAGGGGTGGCTCATTCCCATCAAAGAGAAACCCCTGGGTTTACGTGTATCTTGGGGTAGTCAAAAAGTGGAACCCTGATCAGTCCTATTCTAGTATTTGCTCAGATGCTTTCAAAGGCTGTCCCAGATCGAAGTTTTAAGCCAGGCAAGTGATCGGCGAGATGCGATGTACAAAGATACGACGATGTGTAGGAAGCACCCCCCTCAGACTAGCATGGATCCCTAACAACCACACCATCAATTGAATAGGCCTTCGGGAACAAACTTGTTGACTTTCTGGGGTTCCATTGCAATTTGCGGGGAGTACTGCAAGGCAGTTGAAAGAACCAGGACGAGGTTGGGCAAGAGGCTTTGCAACTGGGTCCATTTGCACCAGAGAGGAAACAGAATCCGCAGAAAGCTGGTTACCTGCTATTGTGGCAATTGGGCAAGGGCAAACAAGCGATCGAGACGCACTTGAAGCCGTAGCCCAACCTTTGCACATGAATACCGGGCGTTCCCCCTGAAGGGGTGATGAAAGTTGTGCTGCGGCTTTGAATGTGCGCGGAATCGCTGGCTTGGTGCTGCGAGCACGCCGGAGTTCGCAAGTGAGAAGCGAAAATGAGGACAGTGTGGCCCACAACGGTTTGGGCTTAGGGATGCTCAGGATTAACATGCTTCAACATGCTCCCCCCCAGTCGCCATTTTGAACATCCCGGTCCAGGCTGAAAGGGATTCAGTGAAGAAAAAGCTGCTGTCAAGAAGCTTCCATTGTTGGCATGAGAATTAACGTACTTGCACCATGCTTGGCCCCTCGCAAGTGATGAGGTCCTTCGAGTGAAGTCCTTCGGAGTAGCAGGAGTTTGCCTCAGTCTCCAAGCGAACTTGTTTTGCCAGCTCTTTTCGTTTGAATGCGCCGAAAAGTGTACACTTGTAGCAAGTGAGGGAGGTTACTCACCTAGTCAGATGCAGCTTCTCAGGAAGCCCAAATTCGATCTTGGGTACTTGTTCTAGCTCGTCACCTCAGGGCCACCGAATTTCGGGCCATTTCTCCGATTTGTCGTGCCGCAGCCAGCGATCTCGATCCGCTCGCTTCCTTTCGACCAAACATGTCGGGCGTGCGGGCCGCGCAGAGCGCCGCTCTGACCAGTTGAATGAGTAGCGTGTGGGAAAACCCTGGGGTTGCGTGTGATCTGAGTCGTTATTTTCTTTCAAAGGGACGAAGGGAGACCAGCGTTTCTTGGCTCCCGGTTTTAAGATGCACCCAAAAGGAATCTTGAAGCCCTGTTCCTTGCCCAAGATCTGCTCCGAGTTAAACAATTGAGCCTCGAGAGATCTCTTTTGTTTCCTGTAGTTTGCCGAATGTCTGCCCGGAATCGTTGGACCAACCGCGCGAGTAACGAAATAGATTTCACACCACTTGGGGCTGAAAGACCTGCAAATATTGGCATAAGAATGTGGAATGTTTTTTCGTCCATCCACAGTATGGCTTGATGCATCGCTTTTGGAAAAAATGAGGGAGTGTCCTTCCAGAGTGATGGGACGGAGACCTTGCCCACCTGTTGGTTTATCTACAAGGCGCTGTTCATTGTTTAGGTTCGACTTTGGTTTTCCGTGTTTCCACTTGCGCTCGACCTGTTTGAAGGCTGTCATCAAGATCTTTGCAATATTCAGTTCCTTTTGGGAGGGCTATTACTTGGAACTTTTCCCTGTTTTTTTCTTTAGGATTTTTTCCTGCATGTTACCTTATCTGCCTTCTTAGCTTCTTGGAGCAGCCCCCCCCATCTACAGAAACCTGGGAGGGATGAAGCCACCAACCAAAAATTCAAAAAGCCAAAAGTCGGTGATGCTGGGGTGCTGAGGATGCGGAAAGCCGAAGCCACAAAGGCCACAAAAAGTAAAGCATCAACAAGCCAAAAGCCAAAAAGCATCGAAAAGCCAACAGCCAAGAAACCAAAAAGCCAAGAAGCCAAAAAGGCCCAGACTCCAAGAAGCCAAAGGCCCCGCTTCGTGACTGCTGTTTGGCTTTGTGATGACCTCAAAAGGCAAGCCTAAACCCCTGAACGAACCCCAATGAATCCGACGCCCACGCTAAACCCACGGTTCGGCCCAGCCAACCCTAAACCACCAATAAACCCACCCCAAACCGCCACTAAAACTAGAATCAACCTTAAAACCGAACCGCCAATTTAGAAACCCTAAGAAACCTTAAACCAGCAAGACCCCCTAAAGAAACCCCTAAACAAACCCACTCTAAACCAGCAGTGGACCATTCCTAAATCAACTCTAAACCTACCCTAAACCAACCCCAAACCCCCAACCACCCTAAGCCAATCCTTAAACCCACCCTAACACCACCCGAAACCAACCCTAAGTCCGCACTAAACAAGCCTTCAACTACCCCCACCCTAAGCAAACCCTAAACCAACCCCAACCCTCACTAAGACCACCCTTAAGCAACCCCAAAACCAATCGCTAACCCAAACTAATTACGCCGGCTCTAAACCCACCCTACACCAACCCTTAACAAAACCAGCAAACCCGACACCAATCGCCCCCAAACAAAACGAACCAACACTAAACCATCCCGAAGCCACCCTGAACCTACCCTAAGCTACCCTAAGCCCATCTAAACACAACCACAGCCTTCCCCAACTCTGAACCCACCCTAAACCAGCCCTAAACCACCCGAAGCCAACCCCCATAAACCAGCCCCAGTACCTAAAGCGCAGCCCTAAACAAGCCTGGGAACCCCCACGCTAGCCAACCTTGAGCCAAACCCAGCCTAACAAAGCCAACTCGTGATGCTGAGGATGTTGAAGAGGATGCTGCCGAGCTAAAACGATGCCGGGGATGTTGACAGCGCTTGTGCAAAACAAGTCAAGCCACAGCAGAACCAAGGGAGATCGCACCTGCCAGTTCCAAGACAAAAACATCTTGGACTAATCATGGTTGTTGTTGGGAAGCATTCTAATCATGGTTGTTGTTGGGAAGTATTTTACATTTTTGCTTATTGTGGTTTAGTGGTTGAAATCCAAATCCACTTAGCTGCTAACAAAAATTAAAAATGCTCCCCAAACCCAACGTCAACCAAGTAATTCCCAAAAACGCCTCCAGCTCCTTCCTTTGGTCTCCCCTTTCCCCGCGCGTGGAATCCAGCGCCCTTCTTGCGCCCCATGAAGAACTGAGCGGAGGTTGGATGGCAGGGTTCTGGGTAGTTGTTCCCCCCCTTGGGGTGGTTTTAGACGAAAGTTCTGGTCGGTGGCCAAGTTCAGGATATTTTCAGGTACGTTCAAAGCATTAGGTACCCCACCCGAACCGAACCCGAACCCGAACCCGAACCCCCCCCCCCCCCCCTTAAAAAAAAGGGGCCCAACCCGAACCCGAACCCGAACCCAACCCAACCGATCCCGAACCGAACCCCAAAACCGAACCCGAACCCGAACCCGAAACCACCCCCCCCCCACCAAAAAAAAAAAAAGGGCCGAACCCGAACCCGAACCCGAACCCGAACCCGAACCGAACCCGAACCCCGAACCCCCCCCCCCCTAAAAAAAAGGGGAACCCGAACCGAACCCGAACCCCCCCGAACCAACCCCGAACCCGAACCCGAAATCCCGGGGGGTGAACCCGAACCCGAACCCGAACCCGAACCCGAACCGAACCCGAACCCGAACCCGAACCCGAACCCGAACCCGAACCCCCCGAACCCGAACCCGAACCCGAACCCGAACCCGAACCCTAACCCCGAACCCGAAACCCGAACCCGAACCCGAACCCGAACCCGAACCCGAACCCAAAAACCCAAAAAAACAAAGAGGGGCCGAACCCGAACCCGAACCCGAACCCGAACCCGAACCCCCCCCCCCCAAAACCCAAAACCCGAACCCGAACCCGAACCCGAACCCGAACCCGAACCCCCCCCCCAAAAAAAGAGGGGCCGAACCCGAACCCGAACCCTAACCCGAACCCCCCCCCCCCCCAACCCCCCGAACCCCGAACCCGAACCCGAACCCGAACCCGAACCCGAACCCGAACCCGAACCCGAACCCGAACCCGAACCCGAACCCGAACCCGAACCCGCCCGAACCCACCCCCCGCCACAAAAAAAACAGGGGCCCGAACCCGAACCCGAACTCGAACCCGAACCCGAACCCCCCCCCCCCAAAAAAAGAAAGAAAAAGGCCCGAACCCGAACCCGAACCCGAACCCGAACCCGAACCCGAACCCGAACCCGAACCCGAACCCGAACCCGAACCCTCCCCCAAAAAGAGAAAAGGGCCCGAACCCGAACCCGAACCCCCCCCCCAACCCCCCGAACCCGAACCCGAACCCGAACCCGAACCCGAACCCGAACCCGAACCCCCCCCCCCCCCCCCCCCCCACAAAAAAAAATGGGCCGAACCCAACACCCGAACTCGAACCCGAACCGAACCCCCCCCCCACCCGCCCCGAACCCGAACCGAACCCGAACCCGAACCCGAACCCGAACCCGAACCCGAACCCGAACCCGAACCCGAACCCGAACCCGAACCCCCACCCCGCCCCCCCCCCCAAACCCGAACGCCGAACCCGAACCCGAAACCGAACCCGATCCCCAAAATAAACCCACCCGAACCCGAACCCGAACGAACCCGAACCCGAACCCGAACCCGAACCCGAACCCGAACCCCCGAACCCCCCCCCTAAAAAAAAAAAGGGCCCGAACCCGACCCGAGCCCGAACCCGACCCGAACCCGAAACCCGAACCCGAACCCGAACCCGCCCAAAAACGAACCCGAACCCGAACCCCGAACCCGAACCCGAACCCGAACCCGAACCCGAACCCGAACCCCCCCCCCAACCCCCCCCCCCCCAACACCCCGAACCCCGAACCCGACCCCCCGAACCCGAACCCCCCGAACCCGAACCCGAACCCCCCCCCCCCCCCCGCCACAAAAAAAAGGGGCCCGAACCCGAACCGAACCCGAACCCGAACCCGAACCCGAACCCGAACCCGAACCCGAACCCCCCCCCCAAAAAATGGTAAAAGTAGGGGGCCTGGGGGGTGGCCTGTTGAGGGTTGCCTGTTCTGGTTTTTATGTTCATCTCAAATCTGTGTTCCCCCTTATTCGTTTTTAATAGAGGGTTTTTGGGGAGCTTATTTATCGTTTTCGTTAAGGTAATCATTTGGGTAAATTGTCGCCTTGTTCATTGTTGGGCTGGGGGCAGACATTTTTTTCATTTGAAAGAGGTAGCCCTTTT